CACCTCCTCGCCCCATCCACACCTCCTCGCCCCATCCACACCTCCTCGCCCCATTCGCGCCTCCGCGCCTACGTCCAACGCAGCGCTCCCCGCATCAACACACCCGACCCTGCGCCCGCCTGCTGAATCGGATCGTCCCCGCCCTCATGCACGACCCACACGACGACCCTCTGGCCCCGCAAGCCCGCCGGATGGCTCTTGACGTCCCACTCGCTCGAGATGTAGACGTGGCCGCCGCACTTCTCTTCTGCCTCCGTCTTTCCCTCCCGCTCTCCCTTCCCCGTACTACTCTTGTCCGGAGAGCGCGAGGAGTTGAGCATCAGAACATCGTCTTCTATGTCTTCCTCCTCCATACGCGTAGGAGCGGGTTTGCCCTTTCCCTTTGGCGGAGGTTTGAAGAAGGACGAGAGATCGCTCTGCCTCCGTGCAAGCGGTGCCGCGCTCGTGTTCGGTGCAGCGGTAGGGATAGAAGAGGTGCATTTGCACCTGTACCGCACCGTCAGGGCGTGGTCCCGCACGTATCTCGACGATCCCGGCGTCTGCGTCTTGCCTGTCAAACTACACGCACAATCAACATTCACAACGTTGATGGTTCATAGAGAGAGACGCATACCTAAACACCAGCCCACACCGCCTAACCTCCCTCTCAACCCCCTCGATCCGCGTCCGATGGCTGACACTTCCGTCCGCTACGACCGCCCACGTCAGCCGCAGGTTCAATTTCGGGACTGGTAAAGGTGCCCGGGGCGGTTTAACTGGTGCGGGTGTCAACGCCGTTTTGAGCAGGGTGTACGCGGCCTCGGCGGTGCCGCACTCGTCCGGGTCGAAGACGAGCTCGGGGAAGTGTGGTGCGGGCGGTGGTGGGTGCGGGTCTGCGCGTTTGCGTTTGCGGCCCTGCAGTATCATCAGCAACAGCTTCACCCTAGACTGGAAACTATGAGGTACGTACCGGCTTCATCTTCTCCCTCTCCCTCTCCCCAACACCTTCACCCAACCTCCCAGGAGCCAGCGCCATCGCCCGCTCAACGCCCTCCCGCGCCCTCGCAATCGCGCCCTCGTCCGCGCCCATCTCTGCAAGTTTCAAAGCCGCGTGCGCCCGTTTGCGCTCGGCGTCGATGAAGTACCGGTCGCGGCTGTAGGCGCGGCAGGCGGGGCAGAGCTTGTAGGTCGGCACGGGGTTCGGGCGGCGGCAGGATGTGCAGGTCGGGCCGGTTGTAGCTGTCGAGGCTGAGGTCGAGGTCGGGGTTGACGTTGAGGTTGAGGTTGATGTGGTTGTGTGCGTGTGCGTGGTGGGAGGAGGGGCGGGCGCAGGCGTCGAGGTCGCACTGTTCGTATGCGGCGTCGAGCGCGCAGAGGACGACGCAGACGCCGCCATTTCGTAGCTCGTAGCGCCGGCACCGAACTTGCCCATCATGCCCGCCATTCGCTCCTCCATCGCCATACTCTTCCTAGCGCCAGTCGTAGTCGTAGTCGAAGCCGAAGCTCTAGCTTTCGTAGTGTCCAACATAGGCTTGGTCTTCTTCTTCTTGGGTTCAGGCTCAGGTTCGGGCGAAGGTTCGGGAGACGGGCTCGTCAAGTCGATCTCCATGGGCTGATCGCGCGGGCTGCTCGACGACACCGTGCGCGGCGGCTCGTCGCCCGATTCTGCTTCGAGCGCCTCGGAGACGGCCGCGCTGCTCGCGCGGCTGCTCGCGCTGGGCGTGGCGGCGAAGTGGGCCGTAATCTTGCCCTTGCCCTTCGAGTGCCCAACCCCTCCTCCTCCACTCCCTCTCTTCACCACACCACTTCCACCTCCACCACCGCTTCTACCTTTCACCATCCCACTCCCCCCACCACCCCCGAATCCCGTCTTCAGCCCACCGGCGCGTTTAAGACAGTTAGAGCTCCCTCTGTGATTCGCAAAGTTCACGAAATGGCTCGGCGCGGGGCCGTAGCCCGCCACGACGCACTGGAAGCCGCAGAGATCGCATACGACGCGCGGGCGGCCGTCGGGGTGGGGCGGGGCGCGGTATACTGTTGCGCGTTCTTTGGGATTGCGTGGGTTGGTCCAGAGTATCGCTTTGCCCGCCGAAGACGACATAGCAGAAGGACAAGGAGAGGAAGGAGAACTTGAGCGCGTCGCGTCAAACGCGGTCACGGTGTTGTAGGCGCGTGTATATCGCGTGTGATCCGACGGCATGCTGGTGGGTTGGATTGGTTCGGAGATGAAACTGGCTCGCGGGCGTGTAGATGGACCCACACGGTGGATCATAGCCAGTGAGTAAACGCGACGTGGATCGCCCCGTTCCCGCTCTTACATATACCCTTGCCCTCCTTACTGTACACCCTTACTCTTACTCTCCCACCAGCGCCATGGAGAACTCAAGCCTGTTTCTGAGACTGCCGGTAGAGCTGGTAGAAGAGATCGTATTGTGCGCCGCCGCATCGGGCGATCCCACCGCGCCCGCCACGCTCGCGCTCACCTGCCGCGCCCTGCGGTCCTCCATCCTCGCCGCGCAGACACACCTCTGGCGCCACCTCTTCCTCACCCTCTTCGACCCCCCTTCCCACCAGCTCCACCACACCTACCCCTGGTCAAGCGCCTACAAAGCGCGCATCACCGCCCAGCTCTTCTTCCAAGCGCGCATCGTCGAGCCCGACCGGCCCGCGCCGCCCGAGCTCGTCAAGGACGTATTGGAGTCGTTACTGGACGTGCTGCACAGCGCACTGCCGCTCGACTCGCGCGAGCTCGAACCCGACACGCCTAGCAACTCCACACACCCCGTCTTCCCGCCCCTCTCGCTCGTCTTACATTCAACGCCCGACCGCGTCGCGCCCTCGCTCAACACCCTCTTCGTCTCGCGCATCCTGTCGCCCGGCCTCCCTCCTCTCCTCTCATCCCGCCTAAACGCCTACTGCGTCTCCCCGTCAACTTCAGCAGAGCTCTACGACGAGCCGCTCGCACGATTGGTAGCGGCCGTGGGGCCGCTGCAGGCTGCGCGCGCGCCGCCGCCGCGCCCGTTCTTTGGGCCGCATATGCCGGGCACGATTGTAGGTGCTGGTGCTGAGGGGGCGGACGAGCCGCTGTTGCGGGATCCGCAGGAGGAACAGGAGGAGCAGGTGCAGGAGAGCGGCGAGTTGAGGGTGTGGAGGTGTAGTCAGAGGCGGGTGTGGGAGCCCGAGAGGGCGGACGGGGTGCGGAGGCTGGCAAGGATACGGTATGTCTATCTCATTTCTTTTCATATGCTACTCGATACTGATTCACGGCGTGGTATAGCGCCTACGACATGTCCTACCTACACCCAACCCGCCTCCACGCGCCCTTCCTCCCGCTATCCCCCACCACGACCCAAATCTTAGACTCGGCGCTGCTCGTGCCCACACGCAGCATCCTCTCCCACACGCTCGACGAGATCTCCGACGCCTCGTCCGACGGCGATTACAGCCCGCACGCCTCGCCGCTCATCCACTCTTCCTCTTCGTCCTCAAGTTCGACGTCGACGCTATCCTCAACGCACAGCCAATCCCCCTCGCCCGCATCCGACCAGCCCGCGCCCGCCTTCCCCTCACCCGCGCCCTCGCCCTTACCCCTACCCTCAGAACCCGCGCCCGCCCCTTTACCCGGCATCCCCTCCTACGTCCCCCCCGCCTTCGCACACATCTACACGCTCGAACCGCCCGCCGCCCAGCTACACTTCGACTGGACATGGCTCTCCGCCGCGCGCACGGTCGTGCAGCACAACCTGCGCGACCTGCTCGCACCAAGGCACGCGCATGCGCTGAGGGCGCTCGTGGCGCTTGAGGGGCTGAGGGTGGGCGCGGCGCCGGGGTTTGTTGGTGGGGGCGCTTCTGAACGGCCGGAGTCGGGCACGGGCGCAAGCGCAACCCAAGGGCTTGGAGGGAATGGCAAGCGGCGCGCGGATTCGCTCTCAACCGCCTTCGCGCCCGTACTCGAAGACACGTCGTTCATCGACCGCGACCCCAACGCCCTCATCTCCAACTCCAACCCCTCCGAGCCGAACGACATAGAGGTCGACGAAGAATGCCCTTTGGGCGCGTTGGCAGAGGTCATTGGTCCGGGCCCGGTGAGAGCGGACGGGTCGTGCTATGCGTTTCCTGAGCCGGGGTCTGAGTTCGACGCGAAGAATCTGGGCCTGAAGGGCAAGAACACGTCGCATGATGAGGCGGACACATCTGACGACGTCGAGCGCGCGCTGGGCAAGGGTAAGGGCAAGGGCAGGGTCGTAGCAGACGCGAACGACGTAGAGATGCAAGCCGAGGCCGCCGATGCGAAGGGCAAGTCCAAGTCCAAGCCAGTGCCAGTGCCGGACGAGGAAGGCGTCAAGATTGGCGAAGAAGGAGTGAAGATCGGCGAAGAGTGCGAGGGGCACGACTGGGCGGGCGTCGCGGGCCAATGGCGCCGCTGCGTCTGCTGGCTGGACTACAAGGACCTCGTCGCGCACAACGTACGCCCTCTCCCCCTCCCCTCCCCTCCCTTCTGCCTTCTCCCCCCTCTTCTCCCTCTCCTCCCTCTCCCATATCCATAACTAACTCATCTCTACCCACAGACGCACCCCTTCACCTCGCGCTTCACCGACCCGACGCTCTACGAAGTCATGCGCATCGTCCCCATGACGCTCCGCGTGGCCAAATACACCCGCAGCGCGCACCCGAAGCGGCCGACGATCCATGTCGCGGGGACCGTCGCGGGCGCGCAGGCGGCGCATTGCGTGTGGGGGAAGGTCGAGGTCGTTGGAGGGGGCGAGATTCGGTGGAGTTTGGTGCGTCGAGCTCTCTTTCTTCTCTTACATTACCCCCTTGCCCTTTCCCTTTCCCTTGCCATCTCTCTCGCTTTACCTTTGCTGTTCCGACCAGAGTTGCTTATGGTGTGTTTTGTGTAGTTCACGCTGCGCGAAGACGGCGAGTCGGCCTGGCAATCCGACGGCGTCCAGCTCGGCGGGCCCGGCTCCGCCGCGGGCGTGCTGGGCATGTGGACGAGCGCCGAGCACGAGCACATGGACCCGCTCGGTGCGCCCCTCCCCCTTTCCCTCTCTCTCCCACTGCTGATTATACTTCATATGATGCGCAGGACCGTTCTGGGCGTGGAAAGTCGGCGCGCCGGGTGCACGTAGTAGCAGTGGGATGGGGCTGGGGGCGGCGGAGGGGAGCGAGCCGCAGAGCGTGCAAGGCAAACGCCCTTCCGAGTCGTCGAGGAGAGAGCCCGAGCGCTGACTGACTCTTTCTTTCTATTATCGCCTCTACCACTTGCTCTACAACATGTCTACTACGATTCGCCCTACACCTGGTCTACGATATATGCGCATCTATTCGATATTCGGACACGTAGAAGCGATACGCGAATGGACGAGCGTACTCGGGCTTCAGCCGGAGCCGGACGCGGATACGGATCAGGAGGACACGGATGCGGGAGCGGTGGAGGACGATGATGGCGGGGAGTGGTTGGCGCATCCGCTTGGGCCTGTGTTGGCTTGAGCGCTGGAGGGCGGGATGGCTGGACTGCGCGCTACGCCGAGTCGGGTTGCTCACTGTGGCCCGCGCGCCGACTCGGATGCTCGTCTTATCGAGCAGGACTGCGCTGGGCTGGCCGACTCGGAGCACGTTCAGTAGCTTCACCATCCGCGCGCAGGCCTTCGCCGACTCGGACCCCAGCCCACATCGTACAACCCGACTCGCAGGCCCTTCATTCCGACTCGCAAGCCCTACACCCCGACTCGCAACTTCCAAGACATGCCTCACCGACTCGGAACGCGCACCCGTTCTTCGTCTGGCGCCCGCGGTTCATCCGCCTCATGTCACATACGCAGGGCAAGCGCGTGTCCGGATAATCCGTCCGAGCAGGAGGAGGCGTGTTCGCATTTCGGAACGACCGAAGCGAGCTGGACGGGATGCGAGGGCGCTTACTCGGGCGAGGGTGGGTCGGTGACAGGCGCGCGGCGGGTCAAAACTCCGTCGGGCTTTCCGCGTCTACTGTTCTGTCGTACGATTTGTGCATGCGAATCAATTCATTGTACTGGATGTACTGATGCGTGAAGGCCGGAGTGTATGAAGAGAGAGTCAGCTTCTGTGTTGTATGATGATGTGGTGGATGGCGTGATTTGTTGAATGGATTACTTGATGTGATTTTGGGTCCGGGTGTGAGCGGGTGTGTCTCGTCTGTATGCTGCGTACATTCTGGTTCCTCGTCTGTTTTGTTATGCTTTTGCTGAGTAGTGTTGTGAGTGTACGGTCTCAGAGTTTTTAGTGGGCCATCATGCACTTCCGGGTTGAAGTCGCATTGCTCGTGGGATTTGCAACCTCTCTCTATTCCGCTGACGCACTTTTGTTACTCTTGCTGCACGAGGCTCTACATGCACGCATGGATCGTGGACCGGCTTCCGATCCATACGCCTGCGACGGTGGATCTTGCGAAGTTGTGTGTATGCGGCTCTTACGCGCGCGTCAGCTACGTGACGCACAGAACTGCCCTTTCACATCCCGTTGACATGGTTGGTATACTGGATGCGTTATAGGAGCGCGTCATCATTCAGTGGTTCCTTGCGTGCCGTATATGTTGAGATTACGCTGAGATCGAGAGTTCGGTTAGAATGCCGAGCTCTATGCCATTCGTTCTCGTCAAGAGGATTGCTTACCGACTCTACCCGCCACGAACTTAAAGATCAACGTCATCGATATCTCATACAACACCTATCTTTACAGGATCATAGTGCTCATGCGTGCTTGTGGGCGTTTCGTGTGAGTAAACTTTGGCTTGACTATCTGAACCGCTCATGGCTCTACAGGCTTCACCCGCGTTCCGGAAGAAGACCCGCGGCTGCTCCGTGGCATGCTTGAAGGGTCTGCCTTGAGGAACAATGTCATACCTGTGGGAGCTAGCTCGGCATACCGTGCATTTGCTTATGCATAACCCATTAGGGTTGGACTTCAGTCGTCTTGCGGTATTTTGCGATGACTAGTGCCAGAACGAACGTCTGTGGTTGGATCCTATCAATTCTCCAGCCCTCGTTCAGCGTCCGATCCAATGAGTTGTGTGATACGCACCACTTCCAGTAAAGAGACTGAGAGATACGCATCCAATCAGATGGTCATCGAGAAGCTATCTCAGGCAATTAGCTCAAACGAGTCAACGTTTTCTTGAACAGGCGGCAAGGAAACGCACGTGAGCGCGTCGTTGACGCGACTGAAGCGCGAGCGGAATTCCCGTTTCAGTCTTTCGCTCCAGCCGCCATCACCCACACGAGCCCGCCCAAAGGAAGCACAGATGCGCATGGAGGGTCGTCGATATAGCACCTGTGTCTATGAATGTAGTGGTCCATCAGCCGGGAGCTTTGGACTGGAGAGTCGCTATCAAAATGCCGCGGTAGACCGCCGCGCGTCAAGCTCATTATACGACACGCTTTGCTACAAACTCACCGCCGCAACCGTATAGCCAAGTCTGGCATACAATCTACTGCAACTTCTGCAACGCCTATGCGATATAGCCTTCAGCTTGGCCTCCCGGACGTGCACCTCCGGTAGCTCAGTCTCGCCTTCGCGCGATTTTCGTCATCTGGTATCCTCATCGATCCACTCTCCGATAGACACACATTATGCATCCCCCGCCCAGTCGGGAATCGTTGCTACCTTAAATGCGTGCTCAAGAAACGGAGTACCCCCACTCCTTACCTTATAGTGGCCACAGCGAAACATGGCATCGCTCCCGCAGACGATCAAGGCGCTTCAGATCCAGGAGAACCGAACGCTGAAGGTGGTTGATATCGCCTTCGCGTCCGAGGAGAAGATTCGAAACTTGCCGCAAGATGAAGTGCTGGTGCGTGTTTACTCTCTTCGCAGCGTCTTGCTGTACTCATGTAGTGCATAGGTCCGCGTCCGCGCTGTCGGTCTCAACCCTACAGACTGGAAGCACGCTTTTCTCCCTGTGGGCAACCCCGGCACCATCTCTGGCTGCGATGCTGCGGGGGATGTCGTTGCAGTTGGATCAGGCGTGACGCATATCAAAGGAGGCGATAGGGTAGCTGGCATGAAGTGCGTCTACAAACATCAGAAAGTATAACTTACTGATGTATTGCTCCAGCTATGGAGGCTCATGGCAGAAGGACAACGGCGCGTTCGCGGAATACGTCCGATTCAAAGCGGCCGTCTGCTTTGTCCTTCCAGCGGCCATGACCTACGAAGAGGCCGCGTCCTTCCCTATCCCCCATCTCACGGCTGTGCAAGCACTGTACATGCGCCTCTCATTCCCCAAGCCCCTCACTCCCGAGGCCACTGCGCTTAAGCAGAAGGGCGAGAAGATCTTGATCTGGGGCGCCAGCACGGCAGTCGGTCACCACGCCGTCCAGCTTGCCGCGCTTTCTGGACTCGAGGTCTATGCTACCGCTTCGCCGGCTGTGCACGACGAGATCAAGGGTTTGGGCGCGTCACACGTTTTCGACTACAGAGACGCGGATATAGTCTCCAAGATTAAGGACGCCGCTGGCCCTGAGGGTATCGCGTACGCATTCGACACAGTATCTGAGAAGGGTAGCCCCGAGGCGACCATCGTGAGTCAATGTGCTCCATCCTAGATGTTCAACACCCACATACTTTCTTTAGGACTCGCTTTCGGCAACACGCGGAGGTACCGTCATTGCGACCCTCCTTCTCCCAGACGCAGTCAAGAATCGTCGTAAAGACGTCCGCATCGAGAACACGCTCGTCTACACCGAACTTGGCTACCCATTAGTCAAGTTCGCGAACGCTGTAGACATCCCGGCCTCACCTCAAGATAACGCCGCTGCCAAATCGTACTGCGCAGAGGACATCCATCGCGTCTTGGACGGCTGGAATACGGGTTTTGGCGCCCCTAACTTCATGACACAGAAGCTGCGTGTCCTTCCGGGTGGACTTGAGAGCATTGAAGAGGGCTTGAAGATCATGCAGAATGGCGCGTACGGACGCGAGAAGCTTGTATATAAGATAGCATAGATGGATTTTGCGTCTTCTTGTGTCACCAACAACGATATTTTTTGGTTTTTTTTGTCAGGTCTGGCAGAGTGACTGCAGTTGAGAAGACGAAGTGAAGGTGAGCCGAAGGCGCGTCCACCCCTTCCCGGCCGTGGGCCGACGCGGGATTGCTGGACTCTCAGAAGTTCGACTTGGGCTTGTTGCGTCCAATCTCTAGCGTTGTGTGTACGATCATGTATAGGATCAGCGATGTGCACCACAGCTGCGTGCTGATACGCGCGATGATACCAGAATCCTCATGCCAAAAAGGAAACACACGTGAGCGCGTCCCATATGTTGCGCAGTCTGAGGCCGGCGATCAGCTGCCGCCGCTCACGTCTTCCTCCCGGCCATCATGGCAGCGTCCGAGGCAGGTCTCCGTTGCCGTTGCGCCTGATCGCGCGCTCAACTCAGATACTCAGACATGCGGCTCTGTGCGCTGGCTCGAAAGTCGTCCTGGAAGATGCTTGCGTAACATTGCACGCACGACCTGGTCGGACAACGTAAAAGACCTGTCTACAGCACGTTCACCCCAAGTTCGCCCGATTGAAGATGTCTTCCTGAGCTCCTCTATCATCATCGCAGTTCTTCTCCCAATTCATTTCAATATGGCAAGAACCGTACCCCACATTGACTGAATGCGCTGTGGCCTGCCGAGATCAAGGATTTAATACGCCTTCGCGCGCATCTGATGCCAAAGCCCGGCCCACCGGGCTGACTTCAGCTGCGTTTGCGTCCGGTCGCGCCATCCGTGCGATCCTTGTTGCAGTACTTTCGCTTATCAACACCAACATCAACGCTAATTCCATGTCTAGTCGGAACTGCTTCTAGTATTAAAGGCCACCATGGTGCGTTCAACAGCGATACAAACCCATCCTATTCACCCTCAGTCTAGCATCAGCAGCACAATCAAAAATGACTTCCCTCCCTCAGACCATCAAGGCCCTTCAGATTCAGGAGGACAGGACTGTCAAGGTAGTTGATATACCTTTCGCGTCGCAGGACAAGATTCAAAACCTGCCTGGCGATGAAGTGCTCGTACGTAGCTTCCCCAGATGACTTCCGCTCCCGAGCTGAGTGGACATGTAGGTTCGCGTTCGTGCCGTCGGTCTCAACCCTACCGACTGGAAGCACGCCCTCAGTCCATTGGGAACTGTTGGTACTATTGTCGGCTGCGATGCTTCGGGCGATGTCGTCGCGGTGGGCTCAGCCGTGACCCACATCAAGGCTGGAGATCGTGTCGCCGGCTTCAAGTGAGCGGTTCAATCTTAGACACGACCTCTCGCTAACGTCTCTGTGTGTCTAGCTATGGGGGCTCTTGGCAGAAGGACAACGGGGCGTACGCAGACTATGTGCGCTTCAAGGCGGCCGCAAGCTTCGTCTTACCGACAGAGATGACCTACGAGGAAGCGGCGTCTTTCCCAATCCCCCATCTCACAGGCGTCCAGGCCCTGTATATGCGTCACTCCTTCCCGAAGCCGCTCTCACCTGGGGCGAAGGAGTTCAAGCAGAAAGGCGAGAAGATCCTGATCTGGGGTGCCAGCACTGCCGTTGGTCACCATGCCGTCCAACTCGCGGCGCTGTCAGGTCTTGAGGTCTACGCCACCGCCTCTCCAGCTGTTCACGACGAGATCAAGGCGTTGGGCGCGACGCACGTCTTCGACTACAAGGACAAGGACGTTGCCGCCAAGATCGGGGAGGCCGCCGGTCCGCAAGGCATCATTTACGCCTTTGACACTGTCGCCGAGAACGGCAGTACTGAAGCTACGATTGTGCGTGTAGTGAAGTCTCGTCTTGATCGCTCGTCTTACCATTGAACATAGGACGCGCTCTCATCGACTCGCGGCGGCACCGTCATTACGACGCTTCCTATCTCAGACGAGGTCAAGAACCGTCGTAAGGACGTCCATGCCGAGTTCACGCTCGTCTACACGGAGCTCGGTTACGCGTTCGACTTCGCGAATGCTGTGCACTTCCCAGCTTCGCCTGAAGACAACGAGCGCACTCGGGCGTACTGTACCGATGACATCAAGCGCGTCTTGGACGGTTGGAAGGCGGGTGCTGGCTCCCCCAATTTCAAGACGCAGAAGCTGCGTGTCCTTCCTGGTGGTCTCGAAAACATCGCAGAGGGCTTCGAGATCATGCGGAGCGGCGCGTATGGTCGTGAGAAACTTGTGTACAGGATCGCTTAGTCGCTTGTCTGTATCTTGAAGGCCTTATCATACAAGACTTTCTTATCTTCTGTACTTTACTCGAATAGCGCTACAATTATGGAGAGCATCCTGAATTGATGGTGATTCACACGATCCCCGGCCCCTTTGTGCCGGAATGCCGACGAGTGAACAGTCCTCTTTCGTTCTGCCACCATACTAGCCACGACTCGTGTCAATACACGTTGACTCCAGTCAGTATCTGGGCTCAGATGTATTGATTTGCATTGAGAGTATCATATCGTTGAGCCGGCAGCCCCTGCACCCTCGAGCAGCGATCGTGGCGAGGAATGTTCACAGCAGCGCGGGAGAAGCAGAAGAACTCGTGATAAGCGCCAAGCTTAAGCGCTCACCGATGTACAGACAGACGACGACATATGCCTTGAAGGAAGTTCTGATTGACTGAGTGCGGAGGTGCGTGGAGAACCGCTCATGTAGTGTATCCCCACATCCACTTACTTCGCTTACAGACTCGACCTGGGTGACATTCCGCGAAACGGCGTCGGCCATACAGCTGTTTCACATCATCACAACATGTATCGTATCAAGGTTCATCTAGCCATTACTGGAAACCTGCGCCTCCTCACCTGCGTGGGCGTATGACGTGTATCCTCGTCGTCGCATCCCGGTCTTGTAGAGTCCCGAGGCTATCGCCACTCGCTGCGCGTCTTCAACCTCGACGACCACCGTCGCATAGCATCGGGGCCCAACCCGTCATGGGATCTTGCGTCTCTACGCAGAGCGCCTACGTCCTTGATGCCGCTGCGTCATTGGGCCCGGCCACGCCAGCGATTGAGCCGTATTTGCCCAATGAGATCCTGTCGACGATCTTCACCTATGTCGCCCAAATAGAGCCTATTCGCAGTATACACGATATGTCGCCGTCCGAGGGCGATGATGACACATACTACGGTCGCTTAGGCTGGACCCGCCTATGTGGCGTCTGTCGCCACTGGCGCGACCTGCTGGTCGGCATGTCCTCGCTGTGGGCAGGCATTGTCTTTCATCTCCCGCCAGAGCCCGCCTCACTGGCCCTCTCACGTGCCAAGGAAGCTGCTCTCAACATCCGTGTGCCGTTCATGTCGATACCTCCTCATCAAGGGCGCTTAGCTACGTGGAAAAAGAGACTCACGAGATTCAAGAGCTCAGACCAGCCACCCACAGATCGCGAGCGACTGCTCTCTTTGGCCGTCGAAAATTCGTGCAGAATGGGGCAGTTCTTCGCCGAGGACTTGACAGCACGGGACTTCAGAGCCATATTCAGCCATACCTCCTTCGACCAATTACGCGTCCTTGTCCTCAAGCGTAGCGTTGACTGGCTCTGGTTCATCTATGAAGATCTTTCGCTCTCTATTGTTGCGCCAAGGGTAGAACAAGCCCATCTGCATGTCTCATTACCTATCACACACGGTGAAGGCACAGGTCTCAAGCTCTCCCTACCAGCACTCCTTGACTTGGAACTTGCGACTTCGACGCCCATCCCGTGGTCAAGGGACATCGATACGTTGCGATGGGTTCCGGCCCTTATCCGAGGCGCGCCCAAGTTGAAGAGCCTGGTGATGGATCTTCCCAGCGAACTTCCAGTGGATTGGCAACGACTCTTTGGTGGAGAGCCTGTCCACCTAAGCGCGCTCCGTGCTACACGCTTATCCGGCACAGTCATGACCAACCTGGACCAATTCTTCTCGCTCATCGTCGCGCCTCATCCTCCGCATATTAGCTTCACCGAGGATTCTCTGATGTCCAACTCTGATAGTCTCCAATTCATGAGCAGATACGGGAACGCCATCGCACAATCGCTATCTGTGCATCCACTGGATTCGATCATCGTGTCGCGCGAGACCCGCGTGTTTGACGATATGTTCGATCTGTGCGCATTCTCGCACGACGAGCTTCCTGGCCCATACCTCATGTCTGCAAACTTCATATACAATGCGTGTATGCGCTCGCATTACTGCGCTGCATTCTCCGCGCGGATGACCTTGGGAGTTGCCGCAGATGCGCTTGGCCCTTTTGCGTCGTTTCACCCGGCGCCCAATGCCATCAAACATCTCATCCTCGACGAATATGTCACCGATGAATGGGCGGAGTTGTTGCATCGGTATCTCCACTCCTTTCTACGCAACGTGACCACCGTGCACTGCACGTACTTCTATAACCCATTGGCGCTTGATGCGGGCCTGAGGCAAGGAACGACTCCTTGTACGACACTTCTCCGCATGTTCATGCAATGCTCTGAGTCGGTCGATGTGGAGCGTCCGCCGCCAGAGCAAACGGACGAGTCGTGTGCCGATCGTCAACGAGCCACGACGTCAGCTAGTGAGCCTCACCACGACGTAGAAGTTATTCCGCGCTCAGGTCATTGCCTCCCCTTCCTGGAGACACTCGTTGTATCGATGGGTGCGCCAAATCCTCCTGCTAAGGAGGGAAAGAGAAAGCGCCGCCGCCCAGACCTACAACCTGTTCTAAACGCTGTTCGCGTATGGTGGGACGAACTCGTACAAGTGCTGTCTCATCGTGACAGCATCGGTCTACGTTTGAAAACGTTGCGCATCATCGGCGGATGGGCGTCAGAGGAGGTTCACCGAGCGACTGCAGAGGTGGATGCGAAGATGTTCGCACAGGCAGCCGAGCTTGTGGACGAGATATTGGATGAACGGATTGTGCGGTTGGAGTTCACGTACGATAGCTCGAGGGACTTTACTCAGACATTCTCGTCGTCTAAACGAGCGGCTGTAATACCGTACAATGGCGCCTGGTGATGCGTATCGGGTACTCGGAATCAAGTGTACAATATATGTACGGACCTGCTGTATCAGATCAACCTGCAAGCCGAAGAGCTACCTTGCGCGGCATGATGAATGATGGCACTACTAGATTGCTGCAAAGCTTCTGTATCTTCAGCATCTCGGGCGATGAATGAAAGAGCGGAAGTGATGATTCAAAGGGAAACGAGAGTGGTATAGTCTAGCTAGGAGGTATGCGGCAAAGAGCGTGAGGAGTCGTCAATGAGAGGATACGAACGGTCGGCTGAACACAATCAATAAGTGAAAGCGTATGTACATGAGGGAAAGAAAAGGTACCGGACAGACAGGTTATTGATAGGACGCATATATGTATAAGAAGGGTAAAGGGTAGATCGAAAGGGAGCATAAGCACAATCAAGACAGAACGGTATTTCACCCGCGTCGCATAGGCGGCGCGTACGTAGAGATAAGTATGAAGCAGGTTAGATGAGAAAGGAACAAAAAGCAAGAAACACAAACCACTATGACCACATCACTGGTGCATATACGTATAGAACACATCCACAGATCCTCCTCCCAACACCTTACGGCGCAGCAACAGGCGCCCAATCAATCTCCTGCCTCACAACAGGTTGATACCTAGCTCCACCAAGCGTCACATTCTTCAACCCCGGCGCAAGCCTCGACCATTGCGCGATCCTCTGCGCAGCGGCACCCGGACCAAGCACACCGAACTCCGCAGACGGCGGCGGCGTGCCGTCTCCCGTGCGTGCGCTGCTAGGACGAGATCCAGCGCGCGGTGGCGGGCTTGTCGATCTCGAGCCCAGAGAGGCCAGGAAAGCTGCGTCTGAGCCGAGAGCGAGGATCGCGGCGTCCATGCTGTAGCGGAGCTCTTCGGCGCTGAGTTCGGGTTGGGGGAGGTTGAACTGAGTGTGCGAGGGTGAGGGGAAGGTCGCGGAGGCGGGTGTTGTGAGAGGAGGTGGAGGCGGAAGGCGTAGGTCCACCAGGGCTGGCATATGCGGCAGAAGGGATGTCAGCTGGCGGAAGAGGATCTGTAGACCCTAAGTCAGCGTTGTTTCAACACGATAGAGCGTGAGAAGTTATCATACCTCGTCGGCATCTCGTTCCCGAGCACCTCCTTCAACGCGAACCTCGAGCGTCTTGAGCCTGCGCGCAACATCCGTCTCACGACCAATAGCCGCGACCACGCGTCCGCGCGTGCGCCCATCAACGCCGCGCGCGAAGACCAGCACAAGCTCTTCAAGCCCTGGCCCCTTCTCGCCAGCTCCACCACCTAAGAATGAGCCCGCTTCAGCGAGAGCTTTGAAGGCGTCTCCGGGCCGCAAACCCTCGTACAACGTGCTCTCGACGCGCATTTCGACCTTCCTGAGTTGACTCCCGCACGCGCGAGCGATCTTGGTCACCACTGCAGGCTGTGCAATAAGCTCTTGCAAGCCGATTGCGCCGTCTGTGACACCCTCGTCCGCAGGTGAAGAGACATCCTTGACGTGAGGAATCTCGAGCTTCTTTAGCCTGCCATCCCTCTCCTCGTCGTCATCTGCGCCACCGCCGGCCAAGACTCTCCAGAAGCCTTGTGGCACAGATTGCCCGTCAACCCGCACAACTCCTCCCTTCGGCACTCTGAACCCGAAGCCCGACTCCACGACTGCACCAGGAATGCGCGGCACCCTTAGCGCTCGCATTCTATTCATCCCGCGCAGTGCGAGCGCGAGCGCTGCATCGAAGGTCCCTCCAGGCTGTGCATTTCCTGGCGGCGTAATGAGCGCGAAGGACTCGATGAGCGAGGTAAGGTGCGGGCTGAGAGCCAGACGCGCGAGGCATGCGTCCGTCCGATCCGAATCGTCGTCGTCGTCCTCATCTCCTCCGACGGCGATGACAACTTGGCCTTCAGCTCCCGAACCCTCCCTCGAATGCGAAGTTGAGATAGGAAGATGGGAAGGCGGGAGCGGTAGCACAATATGCGTGTACAATGCCGCACGGGCAGCAGCGCAGAACCGCCTGTTCACGCGTGCCAGAGAAGGAAGATCGCGACGGGGTACGTGCGCGAAGAGGAGCGATAGCGGTACCGGCGGGTTTTGCCGTGCCAGGCGCTTACGAGCTCGGGGGACCGGGGAGCGTGGGGGAGCGGGCGCCGCGACGGGGGTCGGGTTCGGTGGCACTTCAGGCGTGGGTGCCAGAATGGGCGACTGGGTGAGCTGCACAGGCCGGTCCTTGGGAGGTGTCATAGGCGGTATATCGTGCTCGCCGGACTCAACTGCGAGTGATGAAGTCGAATAGATCTGAGTGGGCGTAGAGAGCATCCTCGTCCTGCTTGATGGAGTCGATGCCTGCGAGTCGCGCGGAGAAGGTGTAGACTGCAGTCTGTCGCGGAGCGAGGTTGAGGGCGACAATGACTGGGAGTTGGGCGAAGTTGGAATCGGCACACGCATTGCGCGGGCGATCGTCGGGGACAGATGCGACTCTTGCTCCACGGCGAATGAGCTGCGAATGACCATACTGTCCGTCGCGAAAGAGGGTCGACCGCCACCATTGCCATCTGTACCGGCCATAGAGAGCCGGGCTGTGAGATGCGAGGGAGAGGGCGGTGGGAGCGGGAAAGCTGCCATGACCTTGGCCTTGTGCTTTTCCCGCTCGCGTTCCTTGCGCTCTCTATCCTTGTCCAAGGACAATGGGCTGGGTGCGGGTGACGTTGCCGGTGACGAAGCCTCGCCGTGTGGTGCAGGAGATGCCGAGCGTGAGCTATACGTGTCGAGTATAGGCGTGCTCGATGCATAGTAGGAGCGCGCGTAGGGCAGGCTAAGACTATCGGTCATCGTGCTTGTCTGGACCGACGTTCCTACATCGTCCTCGACCGCGAAGCCGTATCCACCCTTCCCAATCGGTGAACGAGCCCGTAGCTTCTGTTTTGATGGCGCGCGTCGGACAGGCATCTTCTCTTCCTCGAGCGGATAGACGCGCGGGAAGCGCGGTATCTCGACGTCGGTCTTTCCAGTTTCGGGATTGCCATCGGGGCCGCGTGGTACGCCGGTTGAGCTGTCGTATGAACGGGAACGGCCAAGCCCGCTAGGACGGCGAATTTCCGAGTCGAAGGAGGGCGATGGAGAGCGACTGGGAGGAGGTAACGGTTGGCGCCCGCGAAAGGAAGCAGCAGGGCGCGTAAAGGCTAGGCGCTTCGCGAGACCTGAGACAGAGCGCCGGACTTTGCCATTCTGCTGCAGGTTCGGGGACGAGACGGGCGGAGGTAGAGTGAGCGGTCCTGGCACAGGACTCTCGCCGATGTGCGCGGTCGACGCCGGGCGGGCGAAGGACGAGGTAGAATCCCAGCCCTGGACGTTGTCCGAATATATAGAGCCGGTAGATAGCGCGCGCTCGGGGCCCTCGTTATCTCCCTGCAGCACTCGCCTGCGCGCGAACAGCGACATTTTCGAACGCTACGAGCGGCGCGAAGAAAGGCCAGCCAGCGGAACGCAGCTCGCGGTCGACGTCTACGTTCAACGTGCACCTGGAGACGGACTTAGCGCAAGAGCAACCGTCGATGCTTCTTCTTCGCTCGACGAGTTGGGAAGTTGCCGGGAGATCAGTGGCCCATCAACTTCTCGGAGCGGGCGAAATTAACCGGCATGACGGCGCAGCACGGACCCATGACCTCCCACAAAACGCGCTCACTTGACCTCCAGCTTTCCAGACGCGACAGACGCGTCCTGGCGTCTGCCGTACGCGTCTGCACGCCGGACAGTGTCTAAACGAGGTCCCGGCTCTACCTTTGCGCGATTGAAACTCCGCGGCGCGCGCAGCAACCAGCGCGGTCCTCCTTCGGCGGTCCCGCGTCTGATCGCTCACCAAAATTTGAGGCGGAAGTGCGCTATCGGGCCAGGCCGACGCCTCGTTGCGGCAGCTGTATCGTGCCACCGCGACCCGTCCGGACCCGTCTGGATATAAGAGTGCTTCCGTCGCGTTCGCCGCCTTTCTTTGCCACCCACCACTTCCTTCCGGCTTAGATTCCTCTCTCTCTAGACGCTATAGACACAATGGGCTACCCTCAGATCCTCAAGCCTGCTCCGGAGTGGAGCGCTACCGTCGTCGAGGACGGCGAGTTCGTTGAGAAGAGCAGCAAGGACTACCTCGGCCAATGGGTCATCCTCTTCTTCTACCCCATGTAATGCATCGATCACACTGCCAGCGCATCATCTGTCTAACACGCAACGCAGGGACTTCACCTTCGTCTGCCCGACCGAGATCCTCGCCTTCAACGCTGCTCTCCCGGCCTTCAAGGCGCTCAACACCTCCGTCCTTGGTGTCTCGACCGACAGCAAGTTCACTCACTTCCAGTGGGCCACCACGCCCCGCTCGCTCGGCGGTCTCGGCCCGGAGGCCAACGGCCAGGGCGCGTCCCTTGCCGTCCCTCTCATCGCGGACAAGAACCACAAGATCTCGACTGACTACGGCTGCCTGCTCGAGGACGAGGGCTTCCCGCTCCGCGCGACCTACCTTATCGACCCCAAGGGTATCCTCCGCCAGTTCACCGTCAACGACACGCCCGTCGGTCGTAGCGTCGAGGAGACGATCCGCCTGATCAAGGCGTTCCAGTTCACCGTACGTGCTCGTCTACTTTCTTTTCACTACGTTTGTCTCATGTCAATCTTTTCGCGATCGTCATCAGGAGGAGCATGGCGAGGTCTGCCCTGCCGACTGGTCCGAGGGTGCCCTCACGATCAAGGCTACCCCGTCCGACAAGCTCGCTTACTTCGGCGCGGTCGCCAACGGTAACGCCAACGGTGCGCCCGTGCAGTCCAACAAGCGAATGCGCGTCGACTAAGCGCTGTTTTCTCCCCCTCTCTCCCATCACATCTTGCATCTTGCTCTCGTTACGCTTTGATATGCTCGTTTAATCCCTGTCTTATTCCTTCTTCCTTTCCTTTCCCTTCTTTCCACTTGTTCTTCGCCTCTTCCCTTTGTCCCTCCAGCCATGCCCACAGATTGATCACGCCGCGCCGTTCCCGCCTGCAAGACCGCGAGACGCCCCCGAGACGAGTTCACGATCTAGATGTGCGATAGAGCTATAGAAGGTTAGAAGGTCCGGATAGAACATAGAAGGGGAATGAAGTAGAAGGTTTTTGCTGCTGGTTGCTGTTGTACAATGCCAATCTACGCTTCAAGCTGCTTTCTAGCCTTGTGATGTTGAGCTCGCCTTGATAACTCACGCTACGCGAGGTCTCTCTGCCGCCCATCGATAATGGGACATGGAACATTCGACCGAGCATCCTCTGACGTATTGGAGATATCTCTGATGGTGCGCACACTGGCAAAGGCCTCATGTTCAGGCTGGCCTGTGCGATGTAAGGAAGGGCGCACTCAAAACCTACGTCATCATATGACCGGCACGTGAAGTTCGCACGGCCGCGGCTACCGCGCCGTTTGCGCACCTTGCTCTCTCGTACTTGACAAACACGTCCCGGGCCCGCTGCTGAGGGTCGATACCAAGATTTGTTTCGCGCCCTACAGCGGTGCGGTGGAAGCAGGCTGCGTGGTTGGCGAAAAGATATCACGGCCATCGTACGATCCCGGTGGATATTCTCGAAGAGTACATATGACAAAGAACACATGTCCTAGCCCGAGTGCACAGCGTACATAGAGTGGTAGCAATAGATGATACTGATTTGAAGGGTACAGTGTACGCTAACGATGGACGTATGACGCTAAGCAGAACGCGAGGAGCCTCTTGCCCGAGCCGTGCGAACTTCACGTGCCGGTCATATGATGACGTAGGTTTTGAGTGCGCCCTTCCTTACGGCGGAGAAGTTGGGTCTTCGTCGAACCTTCGTGCGGCCGCCGCCGAGTCTGAATCCTTCGCGGTCAGAAAGCCAGGTCCGTGGACAGCCAAGCGGTAGCATCGTCGATATCGCCACCTATTGCGATAAGATACGCCATGCTGATGTCGCATGAGGCTACTTGGTAGAGATGCGTGCTCAAGCTAAAGTAGTATGAAGCTGCCTCAAGACTCGAGGTAGAGCCGGGGCTAGTATTGCGTTTCAGTATCGCTGCTTTGAGCGCTGAGATGCGCCTTTCCATGGTAGGGTTGGGGTTGGGCAAAGAAAGAGTACCTAGTCGTGGTCGCAGTTCAACCGCAAAGGGCACGTGCGCCTGCCGCAGCATCATCGCACGCCGCAGAACGGGCGAACCTCTCAATTTTCGACGTTCACGACTGTCTGGGTAGTACAGAACGCGCAGGAGACTTATCTGTGTGCGTATATGTCATGCGACGAGAGGTGGAAGTTGATGAAGAGTAATACTCGTGCATTCATGGCGTTCTACTACCATTATCGTGTCTATACACCACGCACACTCTTCTCTTAGGCTACGTGCGCGTCAATAATACACCGCACGCTTGTCTTCGACCTCTTCGACCAGCGTGGCAACTAGCGCCAGCATCTTCGCATCCATCTTCGATGACCGCTCCCGTAATTTCTTCGACTCCCAACCCCCTACAATCCGTAGCTTGCGTAGGCGTACAACAGCATCGGTATGGCGGCTTGTCAGGGCTTGCACGAGCTCCTCCCACCATATGCGGACGTCATCCATGCTGAACAGTACATCGTGCGTCGCCTTGATGCGTTCGACTCTCATGGAGACAGCGACGCACTGAAGATATGGTAAGATGTGCCTATCCGGTGTCAACGAAGAACCCTATGGAATACAGAGGTGATCAGCGATAGTGTATAGGATTAGTGTATGTGGCATTACACACATTATGCATGCCAACGTCATAGACCACACGAAGAGCCTTTGTACAAACGCCGCTGCTCGCGTTGCTTGCTTTGATAGGTCTTGTGGCATCGATGCAATGAAGAGTGGTCACTTTTGGGAGGCTTGCGCGAAGGACTTGGCGTACAGCGTTTGCTATGGGAGTGCTGGAGTATGTATCGAGAACAAGGGTATTGAAGCTGGCTTCTGCGAGCACAGGTGAAAGTAGATTGAGAGCACTCGATATCATGGCAACCGCCGGGTCAGGAGACCCCGTGGACTTGACTAGTAGCATTAGCGAGAAAACCGTGCGGCCTGTACAGTTGACAAGTTTCAGATTCCCCACGAAATTCGGGAGGGTCAACCCCGAATTTGACAGTCCTGTGCTGCTAAACAGGACGATTTGGAAACCCAACTGAAGCTGTGTCCTTTCTGAGTTGTAAGAGGCGATGGGGTGGATGTAGATGCAGTCGAACGAATGCGATCGCAACGACTGTTCCATCATTAGACCATAATTCTCGAAGGCCTCTTGCAGCATCTGCGTATCTTCGTCAATCACAACATTAACTGCGGTTGTCCGAGGGATCTCTTCGACGATGTGCTTGAATAACACATGCAGGCGAGCATTGATGATGCCCATGAAGCGGATGGTATGAAGTTTAGGAAGATGAATGTCAGCTCTTCCGAAGAGAGCCGGCCAGTCGACCTCCAAATAAGTGACCAAAGTGACATCCAGCACTCTTAGGTTCAATGCGCAGCGACGTATGAGATGCGGGATCCAACGCAGTTGATCCACGTCCGTGATAAGACACGAATCAAGGGGCGTGTCGTGTCTTTCGGACACGTGTAGCTCTCGCAGAGCAGGAAAATCGAGGTGGAGTCCTGGCCCTTCATCGTAGGCTATGGGGAGCGTGGGTGATAAATATGCAGTGTGCAGACGTGGGGCCGTCAGGCGCAAGTCGCCCAGATCTCTGCGGGATGGTACTCCAGCTTGTAGCCCACTTGAGTCATGGATATGATCAAGATGAATGCTGATAAGAGAGTCGAAGAGACCCGTTTGAAAGATAGATCTATATTCCGGAGCAGCCAGGTCTTCGGCATAGAAGCCATTCATCCTGTGCGATTGAGAGATCGCCAGGTTCAGTAGCCGTTCGCGATGTGCAGGAGGCAATCCCCATTTCTTCGCGGTAGCGACGGCACATAGTAGTGGTGGATAATTGTCCTCGTGGGCGGGCAGAAGCATGTTGAGATGACCGGTGCCGGATCGTGCAAGGGCGGTCCCGGCGACGGAGGGAGGAAGGAAGAACACATGGCCCGCCCATAACCTGGCCGCACCATTCACGACGGTACGCCAACGACGGCACACGGACGAGAGGCGCATCCATCCAAGGCACTCGTTGTAAGAGGGATGTTTTGGGTTCCTCCTCGCAAGCCACGTGCGTCCATGTATGTCCCAGACGGGCTCTTTCTTCGCGACGACCATCAGGATGCGATATAATATATCGTCGTTCAACCTCAAGAGAGGGCTGACACAGCCCTCGACGGAGTATATATCTTCTGTCTGAGCAGGAGGCGAATGTTGAGAAATATAAGAGCCCATGGCGGTAGCGACGGCGGCGGCGATGGTGGTTCGAGTTGAAGCTTGAAAGCTTGAACTCGGTACAACCAACCGCAGCGATGCCGTGCGACTTTGGTGGTAGACCTAGCCTCGCACAGCCACTCAGAATATTTGGATTTGGCATATGCCGAGCTCGTAACACCGCATCCCAACCATTCACACTCCCGGGGCTGCAATGTCCGGAGGCAGGCAGTGTGAACAGAAGCCGTTATAATGGGCGCTTCCACTCAGTCGACGGGGAGCTCGTTCGTGCCTCAGTCCATACCGCACACACACCGGAACCAGTCTCATCTGAGCAATGTGCACGAAAGTAGACGATACAGAGATAGATGACTGAAGGAAAAGGGAGAAGGGGGAGGACGCGAGTTCGTTGATGCCCAATATATTTCCCACGCCTCGGCACGTCCCGCCGCAAGCTCCTTCAGAGCCTCGTGCCCCGATACCGTGGTAGGGGCGTGATGACCGCCTCGCTGTATGGGCCGGTTGCAATATCGTCTTAGTTTCGGCGCAGCGTTTCTCACTTCAAAAAAATCGTCTTTGTGGGCGGACCCAAACCAAGCGTTTTGTGCCTTTGATCCTTCTATGTACTCCCTGGTGCAGAGCGCGTGCGAACCTCTTATCAATGTTGATAGCAACGCTCTCACCCTGTATACCTCCAATACGTGTCTCCACCACCGGCCACCGTACGACGCAAACAGTCGCACGGCAGGCGAGCGGCGCGCGTCTGTGCCTTATACCACTTCCTCTCTTGCTATCCTTCACATTCGAGTGTAATCTCAAAGGCTTTTCATCCTCACCATTGTTACTATGTTCTATATACTTCGGGAACTTGAACTCCCAGTGCTGATGAGCATTCGCATACCACCCGAACTCAACAAGCGCTTCCGGTTTCCTCAACGAGAGCCGATATCGTAGAGGTTAAATCGTTGGCGAGCGTCGTTGTCTCCCACGCCATCCCGTTTGCGAGACGGTATACGATCATATACGCCGAGACCTGCTGCAATACACAGTCAGTTCCCAGCTCGCGTCACACACATCAGCCCAAGAAGACACACCTGCGCCGCTTGCGCAACAGCGAGAAACACCTGATCCAGCCCACTATCAACCGCATACGAAACGAGAAACGCCACAGCGAACACCGAGTACAGCGCGGCGCTTTCCACCAGCGCCGTCGCGAGCGACAAGTAGTGTTTCGCGTATGCGGCGGGAAGACTCGACATGATGTTTGCGCGGTACTGTAGCAGGCGTCCGGTGATGAGAAGCGTGAGAAGGATGTTGATGGAGAATGAGGTCGAGGTGTATGCGATGCCGTATGCTTTTGGGAGGGCTGGGTAAAGGGTGCTTGGTGAGGCTGTGCGCGAGGACGAAAGCGCCCAGAGTATGCCTGTAGCTGTGCACGAAGGCGCTCAAATCAGTACCACGTATGACTGGGTAGATTGGGTCTTACGCACCGAAGGACGCTAAGAGTAAGACAAGCGGTACAGAAGCCACAAGGTAGGCTACCCTGCGGCTTTGCCATGGCGCCTGCCAGATGACCCAGCACCTCCAGAGCTGCAGCTCGTCAGCTCAATCACTGCATGGTACAGAGCCTCTCACTCACCACCAACACATCGCACATGAACGTGAGTACGAAGAGCGTAACCTGAACCACAATGTTGACAGGAATGCTCTGTGAGGAAAGATAGTACGCCCATGGGCCGCCCGGGTAGTTGCGGTCATCGATGTACACGTGCTGCAGAACTCGCGCCTGCACAGCAACGTAGACGGTTTGAATACAGAAGGCGATGCTAGTGTAAGCGAGAAGAACCAGAGCATAGCGTCGCGTCTGCCGCTGTGACCAGAGATAGTGCGCGCATGTCGTATAGAGTGCGAATTGGATGCCGTAGCCAAATCCAGAGATCAAGTCGCTCGCTAGGAAGCTGCGTTCGCGGAGGATTAGAGCGCCGTCTTCGTCGGGGCCGTAATATGAACTGGGGGCGCCGACGTTGCTGATGTACATCACGAAGAAAAGTAGATAGCCCACGAAGATGTCCTGCTGGGAGTGAGCACTGTTTGCCCGTGCGGCCTCATATCTATCATCGACTACCTGCCAGCGCTACATACCATGACTCAGAGCTGATGATCAAGAGTGTCGACAGCTCGCAGCATCTTGCAACTGTTAACTGTAGTATGCCACAGATGCTACTTCCACCGCGATTTCGTGAGCCGGCACGTATAGCACAGGTAAGAATGAAGGGCTTGCGAGGCATTTCGGCCTTCTGCCGTTGTCTGAGTGGGCCAAACAGCGTCCGAGGAGGTCTGACACGTCGCATCGCGCGCAAAACGAGTGAACGAGAGCTCGAATCAATTTCGTCTGTATGACCTAACTCGGGTTCTGAAGATGGGCGCTCGGTTCGACGTCGGACCGGTGATAGGTAATGGTGAACCGAAGTACTAAGCACTCGGCTATACAGAGCAATAGCACTAAAACGTGTAAACGGTCACTGTATACATGCATCAGAACCAGAGAGACCCACTGAAAACCAAGCACAACGTACCAAGACCCATCCCCTACCGCCTTCTCTTCGCCCCCCTCCCCTCCTCCTCCTCCACATCGCTCGGATTCAAATCCAACTCAATATCCCACACCGGGCTCTCCTCCCTCTCCCTCTCCCTCCTCTTGCCCGTCTGCCTCGGCGGCTCCGGCTCAGGCGTAGTCAGATCCAGCTCAATATCCCACGGCGGGCTCTCCTCGCGCGCTTGCGGTCTCGTCTTTTGCCCTGTCGAGGAAGACGCGGGTTGGGTTCGTTTCGGGCGCGGGACGACGCCGGTCAGAGTTGGAGGCGGGGATGGAGAGGATAGTTCGTCCGCGTCGAAATCTGCGGACGTTGCGCGGGCTTTGCCTTTATCCTTTCGGGTTGGTGGTGGTGGAGGCGGGGGCATGCGGATGTCGGGTAGCGGGCGTTGGCCCGCCGGCGCTTGGATCGTTCCTCTACTCGCTTCGACATTCGAGTTCGCAGCGTCCATAGCGTCTTCGTCCTCCTGTATCTGAGACTGGGATTGAGCGAGCGTAGACGTCCCGGCGTTCCTGAACGGCCGATCGAACGCGTCTTTCATCCTTGCTACTTTCTTCGGTCCGAAGCCGGGGAGCTGGGCGAGGTCGTCGGCTGATGCTTTGGCTATTGATGCGAAGCTCTGTGTGCTCCTCAATTCCAATTCCCGCACAGGAGTCAGAGAGGGAGGAACATACGCCGAAAGTCGTCCGTAACGTCTCGACATCCGTCTTGTTCACTTTGCTGATACTGGTTAAAGCGGCGCGCATGATGGCTGCGGGCTCCTTCTCGATGCGCTCTTTGATCATTGTAGGGGGGCGGTGTTCGAAGCGCTTGTAGGTCGCGAGGTAGGAGCCGGCTTCTTCTGCTCTGCGTAGAGTTGTAGGTAAGATGAGAGAGCAGGGGGAATATGAGGAAGGGAGGAGAGACGTACGACCATGTTACGATAACGGTTATGTTGTTGATTATGCACATCTGCTAGGTCGTGAGCGGAGTGGTAGGTGGGAAGTGGGAGAGGCTGACCTTGGTCAGTTCGCGTATTGGGTCCTGGTGCTCTGACTATACCATAATGAGCCAATGGAGTCGAGGCTGGAGAGGATGCTGCTCACGATATCGCACATGAGAAGCAGGATGCGGAGGTTATATGCGTTCTTGATGCCTTCGACTCGCGTGTGAATGTACTCGGGATGAAGTCGGTGGTACCGCAAGCTGGAGAGAGTCCCATACAGATATCAGAGTTCGTTATTTCAGCAAGACATATCTATGAGGCTGACCTCAAGAAGAGCACGCCCGTCGTACGCCCGACTTGGAAGTCAGCCGGGATCTCGCCAAACTCCTTGCCCACATTCTTGATGGCTTCCAGTATCGGGTTCAATCTCTACCAAACTTCATATTTGAGTCAAATATGCAATCATTCATGAATGGGCGTACTTGATTAGGATTGATGATTATATTGTTGCCTCCGCCTGGCTGAACGACGGGAGGTGCTCGGCGTTGAGCACCAGAAGATGAAGCTGCGGCGTTCTTGTTTCCAGAAGCAGACGCCATAAGTGCTCAGAGTATAGGCTGAGTTCAGTGTATAGTGAGTAGCAAGAGACCAAGGAGTAGCGATTAGCTGGAGAGATGGCGGTCCGAAGCCAAGGTGACTTCGGACGCGACGCGACGCGCCGACCCACATCGCAATCAAAGGGCACGTGGCCGCGCCGGTCGATCGACGAGGATTTTCCTGTTTGCCTCCAACGTCGACCTCGACGACGGGCTCATACACCTCCATCGCCGGCGCACCCCACTCACTCGCGCCGCTCTCTCCTACACTTCTCCTTTGGAGGTTCCACCCATTTCCTAACCCGCAAAAAATATAGCCGTAAGTCGCATCATCGATCTTACGCGTCGTCCGTCTATCTGTCCTAGAGTACTGATTCTTCGTTTGTTGTTGAATATAGAAGATGGCGCCGATGACGAAACCGGAGACGGTGCTGAAGCAGGCGGAAGGACTCGTATCCGTCGGCCAGACGCACGCCGCGCTCCAATCATTGACGGACATGTTCTCCTCCAAACGCTTCCGCTCGACGCCGCTCGCCTCGCTCGAGCCGATCATGATCCGCTTCGTCGAGCTCTGCATCGACATGCGCAAAGGCCGCATCGCCAAAGAGGGACTAATGCAGTACAAGAACATCGCGCAGAACACCTCCGTCGCGTCCATCGAGGTCGTCGTCCAGAAGTTTATTCAGCTCGCGGACGCCAAGGTCCAGGACGCGCAAGCACAGGCCGAGAAGGTCACCGCCGACGCGCTGGCGGACGTCGATGATCTCGAGGCGACGGAGACGCCCGAGAGCATTCTGTTGGGCGCTGTCAGTGGCGATCAGAGCAAGGACAGGACTGATCGCGCGCTCGTCACGCCGTGGCTCAAGTTCCTCTGGGAGAGCTACAGGACCGCGCTCGAGACGCTCAAAAATAATGCCAGGCTCGAGGCCATCTACCAGGTACATCTCACGCCTTTCATCCCCAATATCACATTCTAATATCACATTCGTAGAACATCGCGCAGCAAGCGTTCGCGTTCTGCCTGAAGCACAAGCGCAAGATCGAGTTCCGCCGTCTGTGCGAGACTCTGCGCCTGCACCTGGCGAACGTGGCCAAGTACGCGCACCAGCCGCACGCGATCAACCTGCAAGACGCGGACACGCTCCAGCGCCACCTCGACACGCGCTTCGCCCAGCTGAACGCGGCCGTCGAGCTCGAGCTCTGGCAGGAGGCCTTCCGCACCGTCGAGGACGTCCACAACCTGCTGACGATGGCCAAGAAGGCGCCGCGGCCGAGCATGATGGCCAACTACTACGAGAAGCTGACCAAGATCTTCCTCATGAGCGGCAACGCGCTGTACCACGCCGCCGCCTGGGCCAAGTACTACTCGGTCGTCACCTCCATCGGCGGCCGCTCGGACGAGGAGATGTCGCGCCTCGCCGGCCAGGTGCTCATCAGCGCGCTCGCCGTGCCCGTCTCGCAGAACGAGCACGCGGCCGACGAGTCGCGCACGCGCACGACGCGCCTCACCGCGCTGCTCGGCCTGCCCAAGCCGCCCACGCGCACGAGCCTCCTCCGCGACGCGCTCTCCCGCAACGTCCTCCGCCTCGCGCCCGACCTCATCCGCAGCCTCTACGACCTCCTCCAGGTCACCTTCGACCCGCTCACGCTCTGCTCGTCCGTCGCGCCCAAGCTCGTCCTCCTCGCCGAGGACGCCGCCTACGCGCCGTACCTCCCGCTCCTCCAGCGCGCGCTCCTCTCGCGCTTCCTCGTCCAGCTCGCCCAGGTCTACTCCTCGCTCAAGATAGAGCATCTGCTCGACATTCTCGCGCCCCTGCGCGACGCGGCGGAGAAGGGCGCGGGCTCGGCGCATCTGTACAGCGCGGAGCAGGTCGAGCAGTTCATCATGGCCGCTGCGCACGCGGGCGACTTGGCCGTGAGGATCGACCATGCCGAGGGGGAGCTGGCGTTCATGGACGAGCCGTTCCTCAACCTCGAGGACGGGTCCGGCGGGACTGTGCGCGAAGACGCCGTCCAGCCCAGCGCGTCGTCCATCGTCCGTAGCCGGCTCAGCACCATCGCCACCACGCTGCACAACACGCTCCAAATCCTCACGCCCCCCGTCCTGCCCAGCCCCGCCGAGCAACAAGAGCGCCTCGCGACCCTCGTCGCCGCAGCCGAAGCCGAGCGCAAGGCGCTCTCCCTCCGCCGCGCGATCGTCGCGAAGCGCCGCGAGCTCGTCACGGAGCTGAGCGCGAAGAAGGAGAAGGAGGAGGCGATGCGCCGCGCGGAGCGGACAAGGGTCGAGGCGGAGGAGGAAAGGAAGAAGCAGATCGAGGCGGCGCGGAAGCGGGACATTGAGCGGGCGCGCGCGCAGATTCAGAGTCAGAGGGAGGAGGAGGCGAGGCAGCTGGCTAAGAGCCTGAAGGAGCGCGGGACGCTCAAGGCCGACATCGACGTGCGTTGCTCCCCTTCTATATGCTATCTCCACTTTCACTTTGGACTGGAACTGACGATGTGTGGTATTGTGCAGACGCTCACGGACCTGAACACGGACAGCCTGATGCAGCTCCAAGTCCAGCAACTCGAAAAAGACAAAAAGGAGCGCGAGGAGCGCCTGCGCGTCGCGAGCAAGCGCATCGACCACATCGAGCGCGCGTACCGCAAAGAAGAGCGCCCGCTCCTCGCGCAGGACTACGAGCTCCAGCAGGCGAACGACCGCGCGGCGTTCGAAGAGGCGCAGCGCGTGCGCATCGAGGAGGCGCGCACGGCACACGAGCGCGATCTGGACACGAAAAAGAGATTGAGGAGGATGCTCCCGGAGTTCGAGCGGCGGCGGGACGAGATATTGGGGAAGAGGCGGGAGGAGTACGAGCGCAAGCGCGCGAAGGCGGCCGCGAAGATCGAGGAGGAGAAGGCCAAGCGGCGCGCGAAGATCCTGGCCGAGCGCGCGGAAGAAGACGCGCGGCGCGCGGAGGAAGAAAGGATCCGGCGCGAGCAGGCGGAGGAGGAGGAGCGGCTGCGCGCGGAGCGCGAGGAGGAGGAGGCGCGGGTCGCGGCGGAGGAGGAGGAGCGCGCGGCGCGGGAGGAGGCGGAGAAGCGCGCGGCGGAGGAGAAGCTCGAGGCGGAGCGCAGGGCGCGCCAGGCGCAGCGCGAGGCCGATTTCGAGGCGGCGCGGAGGAGGGTGCAGGAGGAGGAAGAGCGCGAGGCTCGTCGTGCGGCTGCCAAACGCGCTCCTCCTCCCGCCGTCGCTCCAAGGCCTGTGGCCGCTGCTCCCGAGCCCATCGCCGCAGGCGGCGGCGGATGGCGCTCGCGCGCCGCTGCAGCCGCCGCCGCCGGATCAGGCACGCCTCCGCGCGCAGAGAGCCCCGCGCCGGCGAAGGCTGCGTATCGTCCGCCTGGTGCTGCTGCGGGTGGTGCGCCCGCGGGCGGAGGATGGCGCGCGCGTGCGGCTGCTGCTAGGGAGGCGGGCGGGAGCGGAAGTGGAAGCGCCTCGCCCGCGCCCGCGCCGGCTAGTCCGGCGTTGGCACCCACGAGGAGCCTGCCGCAACGCGAGGAGAGGAGGGATGATGATGGGTTTAAGACTGTTGGGAGTGGGGGCGGGAAGTGGGGGGCGTCGCGCTTGCGCCGCGGTTGAGCTGTGTCTGCTTCTGTGTTCGACGATGTTCACGCTCGTGTCGTTTTTGCTTCGGAGTAGATGTGGTCAAGCTGTATCCGATGTCTTCCAAGTCCAAAGCTTCCAATCCCCCATGCTGTTTCATACAAAGTCTGTTGCCTTCGCGTCTGTTCGAGTTCATCATCCCTGTATCCCTCAACGCATTTCGACTCGGTTCTCGGACGTGTCAATGAGCGATTGATAGTTGTATCATGCCTTGTGTCTGATATGTGTTTATGCCTTACCCTATGAATATCTCTCTGTCGATTGTGTGCTCTTGCGCCTACGTAGTCGAGTCGCAGTGGCCGCTTCCTGCGGGAGGGGCGATCGCACAGCGTATTAGGGTTACGAGCGCGGATGTGATGGCCCCGGGGGTCATCACGATCATACCGTGGACTATGGACGACGGTGGGCGGCGGAGCCAGCGCGTTCGCGCAGTCGCGCCACCTCGGGTTGACCTCGGGGTTCGCTCTGAATCCCACGCCCGAGCCGCGCCTAGTTCGCGGCGTTGAGCTTCCGTACCTCTAACAATGGTCCTACTCGGGCTTGCATCGGTCTGGACTCTTCTAATGCGTACTTTACAAGGCTGTGTACTTACTGGAAGGGTGTAGCTACAGTAGAACTACTATAACAGGACTGAGCCCATGGACTCGTTTCGGACAATCTTACTTACAATCTTACCCTTTCTCACACCCTTCGTCGCGTCGCCCTCAACAGGCACATAAGTCGAATCCCTCACTCGGAACCCCCGGGAACACAACACAGCGCGCCCACAATGGTAATTGTAAAGCGTGTCGCGGCGAAGCAGACACTTATCCAACATCACGGCCAGCCTTCGTGCAAAGAGCAGTATACTATGAACTCACTGCACTAGTGCTTTGTTCAATCAGCTACATGACTATGTACAGTCGTCATCGGGCAAAGGGTCCGCACATCATCTGGCGAGGCGTCCGCACCACCAGCTTTCGCTCATCAGGAGTTCTTGATCCTCTTGCATCGCGCCTTGTGTCCTCCCTCTTTCCAGTCTCTGAAGCCTGTTGTCAGCTCCCGCGGAAGAAGGTCCTGACCAAACAGAGAGTCTTCACCTCAGCTGACACTCGCGACTGCAGTATCGAGTTTCTGCACAACCTGTGCACTTCTTCGTCGTCGGTTTGTCCTGTACAGCGTTGCCCCGGTGCGGACACTCGCGCCACGAACAACGTGTCCGTTCTTCTTCTTCGTGTCGCTGACGCTCGCGGTTGGCATCGAGGCCCAATACCGCCCCAAAGCCTACCCAAAGGTCGAACAGACTCTGATGATTGGGTTCGATGCGTTTGGCCTTGCGAAGCTTCGAGAGGGTAGGCCACCAGTGAGTCCTCGCGCCCGCCTGCAGTTCGTTAAGCATAGTCGTCATATGAGCCGCCGGTGAGGTGCCACTCGCGATCTTGGCGATGCGGTAGTAGTCTTGCATATTGACCGACAGGCACTCTTCGATTCCCTCTGAATCGGCGGTCAGTACAGAAGGCTGAATGGTATCGTGAGACTCGGGGCTCACGACGGTTAAGCTCCGACACGCGCTTCTCCGCGACAAGAGCTGTCAGACTGACCGACATGAATGCGATGGTGTCTTCTCCGCTGATCACTATGGTTCCATTAGTGATGAAGTATTGGGCGGCGATCCTATATTCCGCGACGACTCAGACCAGATATCATAGACTGTACGAGTGGCGCTCACCTGAGTACAGGAAAAACCCTTAGCCATGTCTGTATCAGAGAGGGCCATTTGACGAGGAGCCTGTCGTCCATGAGAGCCATGAGAACATGGTGTACAACCTGATATTTGCTCAAGTAGGGCATCAAGTCGAAGGTCTTGGCATCGATCAACATCAATAGGCCGATGTAGGTATCGAGCAAGTTTGCTTCAGACAGTTTGTGCGCAAATTGGATCTCTGAGTCCAAGCGATTGAAGAATGCGTCCAAGCCGATATTCGTGTCGACGATGGCTTCGCGGAGGAGAGCATCACTGCTTTCAGATCGAAACAAGAGCGATCGCGATACGTGATTCAGAACGTGATCAAGCATGAGGAAATCCGATGTGTGTCCATCGTATCGAGACCAGATATAGAGAACAGTCTGGGGGATGAAGGTGGATACAGGGGCAAATTCCTCGCTATCGCGACCAGTCAGTACTTCTGTATAAGGTTGATAAGGTTCAATAACTCACACCGACTCGTACAAACCTTGGTATGCCTGCAATAGCATCACAGTTGCGCTGCTTGCGTCGGGTCCCGGTTCGGCTCCGTCAACCAGACCATCTTCTGATCTCGAGCCCCAGAGGGGATATTGGAACTTATTTTTCCATATATGTGCCCATACCCTGGGCGCGCCGGGGCGCAGTCGGGTTCTGACATGTTCTATGGGTGTCATCGATATGACAACAGCAAAGCCGTCGAGTATGTTCTCAAGGACCAACTGTAATGACCCGTAGTTCCTCGTCAATGCTTCATTCCTGGTAGATGCAACGGCGCTCATACCCGATCCTGGGAGAAGAAACCAGGCCACAGTATGATATCCTGATAGAGCTCAAGCAAGCCGTTCGGCGCGGCGAAGGTGACGAGATGTCTACGTTGAAGAGCAGATTGTCGTGCCAAATACATCGTTTTTAAGGAATAAACCCAGTGAGCAAATGAGCCGAGCAGCTCCTTTTCGTTGGCAGTATTCAAATCGGTTCGATGTTCGGGATCTTTCCGGTATCGGTCAAAAAGAGCGCGAAACTGTTCTACGCCCTTTGCAGGTTCTGCAAGGAACAATGCGATTACTTTGGCCTGTGCTTGTTCGCGACCGGCCTCGAGTGCAAAAGCTGTGAGTGCACCTGAGGTGGACATATCGCAGTGGGAGTTCGATTTGCAGAAAACAGGGGATAGCGTAGAGCCACGGGAGGTACTCAGGTATACGATAGCAGCACTACGTGGCTGTTTGAGACGAGTTTTAGACGTGTCTGATGATCGATTGCGCTGGCGCCCTGATCAGCGTGAGAGCGAACAATCGGCCATCTCCGCCCAGACGGTCAGTCAGAAGTCTGCAACCTGCTTACTACGGATATATAGTTTGACCTCTCTTCGTGATCATATCAGAACTCAGGGAAATAAGTACGGTGGGACAGTTCACTATGTGGACGCAGTCGCGATATATCGGTGGATGAAACACGGGTGACAGCAGCCCATGCTAGTACTCGAGTCGATTGAAGCTATGCTTTCACTACGTATCAGGCCAGTAGAGCAACCACTCTATGCCGGATACACGATGATCTTGTCCAGGTCTCCTGCATAATCTGCGCCACTGTCAGCATCTGAACACAGAACTCAGAGACATCGCCTCTCACTCGATTGGCCTGCTCCAAAAGTGAGCGTATTGGAACCTGAGTTGAGATGAACGCGCACAGGCACGCTCAGCGTAACCTGGCCGTTATATGTGCTGGGCTGTACTACGGTCACAGGGGTGCCGCCGTTGACACTGTCGGTCTCTCATCAGCGGGTGTGCACGCAGAGAACCCTGGGGGCAGTCGCACCTGACAGTCGTGTTGCGCCAGGAAGAGTCTCCATTGGCATAATACAGCGAGATCCATGCGTTGGCATTGCTTCCTTGGACGGTGATCGCGACGGAGCCGCCATTTCCTACGATGAGCGTATTCAGCATCACGACACCGCCTCAAACACGAGCACGACATACCTAGATACCCTACCGCCTTCCCACCAGACATGGAAGAACTGGTGATGAGTGTCGCAGAACCGCTCCGCGTGCCTGACTCCGCTTCGTAGGTCGTACCAGAAACAACGCTGTATGTGCCGGCCGCGATGTCAAGGTCCCATACGTCAGCGTGCACCAGTGTAGGTACACTCCCTGAGAAGTCGATCGGGTACCATATGTAAGTAGAAGTGCCAAGGATGTCTGAGCGCCAGCGGTCGCCCATGTAGATCGCACTACTGCCGAGTGGAAGATCGTACGCGTTCTGCGAATAATAGGTGTTTGAAGATTCTGGCGCGATGTCCTGTTGCGACGACCATGGTCCCGAAATCGCCTGAAAGAGAGCGGGTTCAGACAATGCGACACAGTGCATCCGAAGTGACTGACCGAAGCAGTGAAGACCTTGTTGGGATTGGGAGCCCATCCCGACGTGTGCGACGCAAAGAGGTAGTACTTCCCACTTCGCTTGACTATACCTGGAGCCTCAAGTGTTGCGCCACTGAGTTCGGCCACTGTAGTCGTGACGTTGTAGAAGTTCGAGTCGAGTTGCTGGGGACAATCGCGAAGCTCAGATGGCATGGTATCGCGAAGTTCTGATAGGAACACACCGTGATCTTGAAGTTCTGGTTGTTATCAGATGCGTATAACAAGTACGCAATGCCCGTGTCTGATAGCAAGATTAGTGGGCCCGAAGATAGACCCAGAGCGCATATACGGGGCTCACCATCTAGATAGATGCTCTCGTCTCGCGAATCGGCTCCGAGAGGTTTCCAGCTACCCTTGTATGTGTACGGGCCACAGGGTGTCTTCGACGTTGCAACACCGACCATTGCCGCGCCATAACTGGGGAGGTCATTCAAGAGCTGAAACCGGCGACGGTACGGTCGACTTACTTGCTGGTGTCCGAGTGGAACCACATAACGTACTCGGAGTTCTTCGTGTTGTAGATGACTATACACGGAGTGAGCAGAGAATCAGGTTCAAGAGCGCACAGGCTTGCCTTTGGGGCGCTCGACGATATCCGACGAGGAGATCATTGTGTTCGCAACTGGTGATAATGCGTTGGTCTGACGCGTCCAGGTTGCGAGATCGGTGGAAGAGTAGCAAGACACGGCATGAAACAGCGCGCTATTGGCGGCCTTGTCCTCCCCGAACCAGTAGAACGTGCTTCCAACCTGAGCAGAAGATGATCAGCAAACACTCGTACAGCATCATGGTCGTGACGAACCTTGAGTATCCCTGCACCGTGCGCTTGTATAACATTGCCACTAGTGTCGGTCCATGTTGCTCCTGGTACGATACGTGCGGCAATGGCGGTTGAGGCCAACAGCAGCGGGGCAAGCAGCGCGGAGTAATACATGGCGAGATTGCGCCCTTGCGCAAGCACTCGAATCGGTGCTTCTTGTACTAAACGCAGTGGCGACGTCAGCAGGGATGTTTCTTAGCCGAGCATTATCCTCCACCGTACACATGCTGCTTATGCATCGAGGAATAGGTACCAACGTCCTTCTGGACACCTCCGAGAGCTGTCAGAGGCCGCTTCGTCCGCATGGTCGTCAGGCTTGAGGTGTGGGAATACTGCCGGATAGAAGGATAACCCTATGGTCCCTGTGCACGGGAGAAGCGACGGCGGGGAGAGAGCGCGACGGGTATAGCGGCCCGCCGTATCGATTTAGAAGACAGTGACATAGCCTTGTCAGTGAAGGAGTGATATGGGCAACATGACCAAAACCATCCACGCCACGAGATATACTGTCACGACCTGCGACGAACCGACGGCCCGGAGTTCTTATGAACGTGCAACGCGCAGGCTATCTTGGATAGCCGGAGCTCGTTACCGATATCGGGACAAGGTAATTGTTAGCACGGCTACTTTCTGCCCAATGCGGTGCCAATGCTCCTCCAACCTTCTGCCATTCGTCTCCCGCGGGTTGAGTTGTGGCCTCCTCGACCGAGGCCAACAGAGATTCGCAGCACAGGGCATGTCGCATATATTCAGTTCGCTTGCTGTACATTGTGATAGATTCGTAGCTGGCGGACAGTAGCCGCCGAGGATGGTGGGCGTCGTAGTCGAGGTCCGTTTTCTCCATGACGTGGCCGACCATTTAATTATATTCCCGCGCTCACCCGAAACGCGATAGTCCGAACAAATATCCCGTTGCATATTGTCAAAGCGCGTTAAAGAGAGTGCGTAGTGGTAGCGAGTACAGAGCGCAGGTAACCGGTGAGATGACGAAGGAAATAAAGAGAGCGATGGGGCAACTATAGGTACTAAGTGGGGCACGAGTGATTCGAGTCCAGAAACAAGACATAGTCCATGCGAGCGCGTCCGTGAGCGAAGCCGGTATAAATGATAGGGTGAGAATCCGCGTGAGTATCTACATGCTGGTATAGAGTACGATGGGTTGTTACAATGCTGTCTAGCAGGCAGGGCAGAGGTTCAGGGCGGGGAAGAGTAAGGGTAGGAATGAGGTTATCGGTGCTCGTCGTCGTCGTCGTCAGACTCTTCGGCTTCGAGCATCATGGCTGACGAGCGTTTTCAGCGAAAGGTAAGGAGACAGCTGAGAACATGACTTACCACCCCACGATGAGTTTTGCATGACTGCGAGCACGTCTTGCGGATCGTCCACATACATGGAGTCCCGCATTGGCGATAGGTCGCGACTGTAGACTTTGTAAGTCTCCTCTAATCTACACAGTGCGAGGCAGTCACGTACGTATGTCGGACACCGAGGTCAGCGGACATGACGCTGATATCGCTTGTCCGCCGTCCTCGCTGCAATCTTGGTCTTGGACTGCCGCGCGACGCGAGCGACGCCTCCGAGTCCCAGCGGTCGTTTATGTACGAAGTGGGCCGACTGCCGACCTCGTGCGCATCGCGGAAGGGCGACATATTCGCAGAGTTCCGGTTCGTGGATGTGATGTCCTGTGTTGGCGTTGTCGGAGTATCGTCGACGATGATCTCGGGGACCGTGCTGGACTCGTGCAAGCGCGCGTCACGCTGAGCGATGAAGCGCCGACGAGCGGCAATTGTCCGCAGAAGGGATCGCACGCGGTCGAGATTGACAAGGTCTGTGACGAGATCGTTGGTTCGGGTTCGTACGAGGAGATCCTTCAGACTGAAGTGCATAGTCAGAAAGCAGGCCCTAGAGCAAGACAGTGGAGGAGTCACTTACACCAACGCGTCTTTGTCCTCGATGAGCTTGTGATGGGCCAGCAGCATGAGCATATTCGTGAAAGAGATGCCTTTGCCCTGCTCGTGCGTGATGTTCGCTTCGTGGTACAGCCGACTGTACAGGTTCCTTCTTCTGCGGATCTCCGTGTAGTCGATCTTGTTCAACGCGGCGTTCAGCTTGCGCAAGTTCACGCCCTCGTACACGCGCTCCGTCTGCCAATTTGACTCTGCATTTCCCTCGCTACACGCGGAGAGGATGTTGGAGTAATGGAATTCGGCCGGATAGATGCGAACTTCGAAGATGCCGCTGAGTTGCTATGCATAGATGTCAACTATGAACGTCATGATGGTACAGATGGTGGTAACGCACATGGAAGAACTCCGCGAACTTATTCCGCTCGAGATAGCCGGTACGCTGGTTCGCGTAGTGAGCCCAGACCTTCTTGAAAGCGCGCATCTGTTGCCGTGTCACATCGCGCGAGCCGCCGGTCATCTGGAAGACGTAGGAGAAATTCTCGACCACCACACCAGTGAACATGTTCACGAAGATGTACTGCGAAGCTGCCTCAGCTTCTCAATCACGATAACAGATCAAGAAGAGACATACCATGCTCAGCAAGTTCCACGCGATGAACAACGTGAACGACCATCCAGCGCTTCCACAGTCCGTGTCCGGGTTGTTCTCATCGCCAGGTGTGCAGCGCGGATACACAATCGCGTAGTCGTGCATGTACTGGTTCCAGCCCTCGCCTGAACTCATGAACGCGAGCATGACGAGCGCGCTGCCAATGGACTCGTAGTTCTGGTTGCGCGTCTCGGCCGATTGCCACTTGGCCAGGCTGAAGACCTCGACGTATAGAATGGAGAAGAAGAGGAAGAGGATGAGCCAGAGAGCCAGCAAACTCATGATGATCGGCAAACTCGCGCTAAACAAGGTGCATCAGGATTTGGCAACGTGCATAGGGAGTTAGAGGACGTACACGGCGGTCTTGAACAGCTTGTTGAGATTGTTCGTGCGCTGCACGAGCTTGAATGCGATACTCGTGAGCAAGATCTTCTGGATCTGCTGAATAGCATTCCCCTCCGCGCCCAACCGGACCGACACCGTAGTGAACAAGCTCCCCGCCGCAACAACCGCGTCGAAGATATTCCACCCATTAGCGCGGAATGAGTGCCATCCGAGTCCAGTGAACCGCACGAGCACGTCGACGCAGTAGATGAGCGTGACGACGAGGAAGAAGTATGTCCGGATGTCGTCCAGGATCGTCAGTTGCGAGAACGTTTGCGTCATGAGGACTACGACGTGCACGGCGAAGAGCAGCGTCATCCCCCGCGACCACCAGCCGTGTTTTGCAACTGCGCGGTCGTAGCACCATGCGCGTAGCGGGAAGCTAGGTCGTACACGTGGGCGCTTGCTTGGGCGCTGGCGCTTGATAAGCTTCTGCAAGTCGATCCATTCGCGTTGTGGCTGTGTGAGCAGTGCGCTGCCGGTCTTGGTACTGAAGTTGCCAATGATGATCCTGCACGCACGTGTCAGAATTTGGATGACGGACAGAGAAAGCGGGACGACGTACGAGACGAAGAGCGTGAGAATAACCACCGCTCCAAGCAAATTATAAACCAAGAAAAAGATCGCATTAACCTGGCTCGCATTCGTCTCCAACTGCCCGTCCGGCGTCGTAATCGCCGTCACGACATTCATAACGTCCACCCATCCCTCGAGACTAACAATCTCGAACATGATAAGCAGACTGCTCCTGAACGAGTCGAAGGAGAACGTCGTGCTCGGGCTCGGATTGTCCCACACCCTCGGCACCGGAAACGCGAAGGAGCCCGCGTCGTCGCCGAGCGCGCCGGGCGTGTACTCGCCCACGCACGCCGCTTTGCCGCTCGCGTCGTCGTCGTTGCATACGTTCGTCCGACCGGCGAAGATCGTGAGGCCCCAGACGGCGTAGGGGATCATGTAGAGGATGGCGAGTAGCGCAGCGTCGAAGATACGGCTCGCACCGGAGATGATCAAGTTCTCGAACGTCGAGCGCATCTTCTCCACAAGCGTAACGAGCCTCAGCGCGCGCAGTGCCTTGAGCGCCCTCGTGAACCGCGATAGACCGCCGACGAAGACGAGCCCAGTAGCGACGTTGACCGTGATGCCGACCATGATGAAGAAGTCCAGCACGTTCCAGATACTCCGCACATACGCGTTCGGCGTGAACGCGAACCCATCCGCCACAACCTTTACGAAGAACTCAATGACCAACACCCCTCCAAACGCCGCCTCGCACAGATCGAACCACGATCCGCGTATAAGCCCATGCTCCGCATAATAATCGCGCCGGTACAGCGGCGTAGCGACCGCCTCCACAACAATGCCCGCAATGACCGTGACGAGCAACAACAGCTGAAAGATCGAGTGCGCGGCCGTATTCGGCGGATGCCCAAAGATGCGCTCGCCGCCCGCGGGCCTTACGACGGCCTGGCACGCCCTCCTCAGCGCATTCTTCTGCCCAAAGACCCAAAACGTGCGATCGTACGTCGGATGCGCGCGTATAAAATCCGCCTTGCGCGCCCTCCTCTCATAAAACGCATCGTTCGTCTCGTCGATCTCGCCCGCGCCTTCCTGGTTGATAGCAGCCAGCAGCTCCAAATGGCGCTCCGTCTCCTCGTCCTCCGTATTCGCCGGCGCACTGGGATCTTTCCTATGCGAGCGCAGATTCGCGAGCGCGATATCGTGCGTGCCCGTATCGCCGATGAACAGCGCCTGGAGCGCGTTCAGACTCTTCGTCGTGAAGTGTCCCTTCTGGCGCGCCGCGCCGGGCGAGCGCGCGTCCCGCTCCGCGGGCGGCAGCCCATAGTCCTGTATGAGCGCCTTTTGCATGGGGAGCACCAGGTTCCCGCTGAGGTTCTCGACGACGATGGCCTTGGGCGAGGCGCGGAACCAGCGGTAGGGGTTGAGCCGCCGGAGCCAGCCCGCGCGGCCTTGTTGGGGCTGCTGGGCTTGGAAGTAGAAGTCGGCTTGTTGGCCGCGTTTGCTCTCTTCTGCGACGTTGAAGTTCTCGTTGATGACGGCGATGAACATCTGCAGCACGATGACTACGCCCGCGCATCAGCAATCGCCCCTCACATAGAGTAGATGTAGAAGGACGCACAGTTGGCGAGAAAGAACCACCCAACGAAGAACAGCACGACAAGCACGCTCTGCCCCCTCCCGCTCTCCGCCGTGCCCGTCCCATACAATATGTCCGTCCAGTTCTCCGAACTGAACACCTGATATATCGCCAGAAAGCTCGTCCACATCTGGCCGAAGTTCATTGAGTCGTCCGCTTTGAGATCGCCGCGGAGCATCTGGATGGCCACGAGCGCGGAAAGGTAGTTGATGAGGAGGAGGAAGAGCGTCATGTTCGCTAGACCGTACATGTTTCCGAATACGCTGAGCTGTGCATTTCTTCAGCGATCCACCCTCCCCTCGTTCCCTACACAAGTGACTCACGAGTAGAGGCTTCATCCTGGGTATCTCCAAGATCACACGATAGAACCGCATGAGCTGGAACACCGTCAACCACGAATAGACCTCGCTATCCCTCACAGCCGGAATCTGAATGACGCTGCTGCCCACACACAGCACCAGATCGAGCACATTCTGGCCTTTCCAGAAGAACGCCCGCCACTCCGGAAAGCACGCCGCGATCCTCAGCACGATCTCGAGGTCGAACGCGATGGTCAGCACCAGCTCGCCCTGCACAACAACCAGTACGCATCAGCATACCGCCGAAAGAAGAGTGGGAGAGGGAGGGTGGTTTAGTTTACCTTTGAGAGAATGAGCGTATGCGTCTCGCCCATGCTAGCCGTATACGTCGCTTGCAGCACGAGCGAAGTAAGCGCCAAAAAGATAAAGCACCACCGGATATGCGTATACAGCGCCGCGATAATATTCCTCCTCGGCGCCCTCCGACCCGGCCGCGTCCACGGCTCGTCCGTCGCGTCCACAACCGCCAGCCTGCACACGCAACATCAGTCATTCTCAATCTTCCAGTGATAAGGGGAGGAGGGAAGAGGCGTACGGGGCGGCACCAAAAGCACTCTTATGCGTCTCCTCGCGGATAGCGGAGAACGTGTTGGTGATGACGGCGACGAACAGGTTCAGGAGCCAGAAGTTGAGCACGACGATGGTGACGATGAAGAAGAAGCAGGAGACGAAGTATTCGGCGTCGATCATGGAGTACATCAGCGGTGACCACTGTTAGCGAGCATAAGCGAGCACGAGTCATAGGCGAGCGGTGTGAGGCGTGCGGGGACAGGCGAGTACGGGTGGGAGACATATGCGAACGACGTGCAGCAGTACCGATGGGCGGCCAGTGATGGGGTAGGCGCCGGAGGATAAGCGCGCAAGACGCAGAGGGCCCGAGTAAGCGCCGGGCAGTAAGCGCGCGGACGTGTCCAGACCGCGTCGTCGTGGCGTGGGAACCGAGTATATCGAGCGCGGGAACGGACGCGAAAGTATATTCCAAATCGGGTACAGGGCGCGCACGAGTTCGGAGAGGCCATCGAAAAGAGGAGAAGGAAGAGGGGATGAACGTGATCAGTAAATGGTGTAGAGTAAGGAAGATGGGATGGGACGTACGCCGTTCGCGGTGGCCACGACGAAGACTTGCAGGGCGCTCTGGTACACCGTGTCGAAGCTCTCCAGTCCGCTCTCCGGGTTCTCGTCTTCGAGACAGAGTTGCCCGAGCGGGCATATGTATCCCTGTTCACCCCGAATCAGCACTATTCCCTCTCTTCTGCAGCATAACAGGACGATGGATGTACCTTGACGATATCCGCCTGCGCGCCGTCTCTTGTGAAATACCCCGTCTCATTGAGAAACGTCGGATCGACCTGTCCTCCGCACGACTGGTCGAGCTGTATAGGGTCGGACGGACCTCCGGGTACAGGTTGGAGATAACACGAGCGGCGAAACGAGCCGTTGAACGACTGGATCCCAATAATCCTGTACCCTCCATCAGCCACCCCATCCATCTCCAAGTGTGCGAGGAAGGGGAGACTCACGAAAACACAACCATAGCAAAAACCACAAACAGCGCCACGCTCTGCAACAACGGCCGCGCCGTCTTCAAACTCCGCATAATCGTCGTCGTCCCGCTCGTAACCGTCAACAGCCTCGCGCACCTCAACACACTCAGCGCCCTGAAAACACCCACCCTCAAGCCTCCCTCCTCCCGCTCCACCCCAAACGTGGCAATCGCGAACGCGGCCCAGAACGCCGTCACCGCTACAAAGTCTATGCGGGACCACGAGTGCCGCAGGTAGGGGAGGTGGCGCGTGGTGGCGGAGCGCGTGTTGGAGATCGAGGCGCGGAAGGGGAGGGAGAGCGTCTCGTTCGGGTTGGAGGAGCGGAAGGCCTGGGATATGAAGGGCGGTGCGCTGGGCCCGCGCAGGGCGGAGTGCAGATGGGAGGCTTTCTCCATCATGGGCGTTTGGGAGAACGAGGTGTCGCTTCGGCTGCGGAGTTTGGGGAGGTCTCCGGCAGGATAAGAGTTCGAGGATGCGGAGGGGATGCCGGTGAGAGGTGGAGGTGGGTGGGGAGGGAGGCCGGAGAGTGTGACGTTCGTCGTTGAGCCGGCTGAGAAGTTGGCGCGCGGGTGCGACGCTTCGTGCGCGAGGGAGAAGGGCCGTTTGATATTGGCGTAGAGCCGTCCGAGCTTCTCCGTAACAGTAACCTTCCGTTTCAAACTCCCGGCCGAGCGCATACTATGCGCGCTCGTCGAAGTCGTACTGGGATGTCGTTCGAGCGGCTCGACAGGTCCAGTCGCAGCAAGCGACGGCGGCGGTGCGAAAGAGAACGCGCCGAACAATGACGATACGGGCATTTCGGGGTCCAGGATGAGACCAGTGACGGCTATCCTCGCGAACGCCTCGAGCGTGAAGAGCACAAAGAGCACGAAAAGCACATAGTCCTCCCAAGAGTGAAAGTAGCCCTTCATACTCTTCGGCGCGTCCTCCCACGTAAGCGTGCGCGAGGCCTGGATGGTGAGGACCACGGCGTTGACGATGATGAGCAGCAGAATGACGGGCTCCGTCCACGGATAGACCAACAGCCGGTACATCGCCCTCCGCACGCTGCTCTGGGGCCCCAAAAACCCCAGCGTGCGCCCACGCACAGGCAGCGCGGTCCGCAAATCCGGCAACACCTCCACCTCGTCCCCGTAATACTTCTCGTCGTCCATTCTATGCTCTCCGTCGTCGACCGGGCTCTGCCCGCTGACCTTCTCGAACGTGTCCCCGCGCGGACTGTCGGGCACGTCGGCGATGCGGATGTGGTCGTCCAATCCCATACCGGCCAGATTGACCACGCGGAGGGAGACGCGCCGTAATGAGCGCGAGACGTTGCGCAGGCGGCTGCCTGTGCGTTGTAGCGCGCCCGGCTCGGCGCTGTACCGGATCGTCCGCCTCCTCTGCGCGCCCAGTCCCCCACCACCGCTCCCACCACCATTCCCAGTCCCAACTCCAGCCCGCGCAGATCCGTGACTCAAATTCGCGTGTAAGCTCTGCTCCGCGTCGTCGTCTGCCGTGCGCCAAGACGCGTCGGGGCCGGTGAGGTGCGTTGTGCCCTCGTCGTCGAGCGTGCCCATGGAGAACGAGCTCTCCCTATGCGACGAGATCAAGCTCGCGGCCGACTGCGTGGGCGCCGCATGGGAATACATCGCGACGTGCGCGTGCGTCTGTCCGTAATCGGCGCTCGCGAACGGGTCGTCGTCGAGCACGTACGGCGAGCTGGACCGCGACGGGCCGGCCACGTTGTTGTTCATAGAAGAGAGCGGGTCCTGGCCGAGCTCGACGCGGTTCCAGCTCGTGCGCCGGCGCGGCTGCTGGGCGTGCGGCTGGTGCGGCGAGGGCGGGAGCGAGGACGCGAGGCCGGCGGTCGTCTGGGAGAGGTCGACGCCGGAGGACGAGCTGTGGGCGCTGTGCGTGTGCGAGGGCCCGCTCTCGAGAGACATCCACCCGGCAGATGCAGACTGGCTACTGTAAGCAGTGAAAGACGAAAGAGAAGAGTGTAACCAGGCAAAGATGCTGTAAACCCGTTACTTGATCTCAAACGCCCATGTTCGTGACTGCGCCCGAGCTCTCTTGCTCCGCAGCTCGCTTTAGAGCTCGCTCGTAACCTCTACGACTACGTATACTATTCTTGGACGCACCGCTCAACGCACAGACGCGACCGCACAGGCCGGCGCGACGCGCCGCCGGTCGTCAGGCTGATGCGCCCATCTCTCTCGCGCGCGGGCCCATCTTGCCGCGGCGCCGCGCTCGCTGATCTCCACTGGCTTCTCCCGCCCTGCCGCGCGCTTCCACGTATCACCCCACCGCGTATGTAGAAATGGTTATTCGCTTTCAGGATGGCACGCAGGGCAGATCGTGCCTGAGAAGTCAAACCGCGGGAGATTCGCATGCTCGCGGGCGTTCGTTCATAGAACGGCGGTCCCGTGCTTCTTTCTTGCTCTCCTGCTGAGAGTACTGGGCGTGGCTGTGTACAATGCCCATGCATGATGCTTCTCGCCTCTCTGTCAGTACCGACTGCCTGGGCACAGAATGGCTGGGAGCCATGCTCGTTCGCTGTCGTCTCATGCTTACTTAGTCTCGCTCATCTCGCATCAGACAGTATTCCCAATGCTGGATTTGGCTCCCTTCAGGTCCAGATCTCTTCCAGTGATGGCGTGGAACAGCAAACGCTTCAGCCGTTCCCATTTGGGTTGTCCGTGGCGAGCTCGTAGCCCCATCAATCGGCAGCAACATCATACACAGCGACTTGTATGGAGATAAGACGATCACTAGGCTGGGAAAGGTTGGGTCCAAAGACAGCTGTCGAGGAGGAACAGGGCGTTACTTCAGAAACCCGTCTCTGAGATACATTCACGGTGGACAGAGCGTGTTGGTTCAAGGTCTGTCTTGAAAATGGCATTCAAAAAGACAGTGACCGACTAAAACCGCCTAATATAGGTCATACTCATTCGGCTCCGGCCCTCGTTTGCCCAGCACTACCCACAGGCCGTTGTCGCACGTCGCGCCGAGGTCTGGTCGCTCGACTTGAACCTCGAGCAGGATTTTATCGGCTCCTATAGTCGCCCATGTTAATGCCGGGCGACAAGGAACTAGTACGTCAGATGGGCGTAGCGCTCAGGCACTCTGCTCACAGAGGCTGTCACTACTGTATAGGAAACGATACCACGGCTGTCAAGTGCTACGACGATCGCAAGCTCCTCCCTGCATCATTAGGCGTCTCCGTACTTGACCCTGGGCCACCACCACCTCGTCCTACCGAAGACGGTCCACAACAACCCTTGCTCATCCCGCTCGACTTCTCGCTCCGACTCGCCTTGACGGCACCACTCCGGATACTTCAAATACCATCAAGGCTCCAACAATCGCACAACATGGTCGGCTCCCTCGACTTGCCACCCATCTCTCTCCCGTACGGCGTCAATCCAGTACGGGGAAAGGAAGCCGCAGACGTCATTCTATCTGAATTGGTACTGAAACCCCAAAACGCCATCTACACTCTTCGCAAGACATTCGAAGCGGAGCAGAAGGCCGGGACGTCCTTCGGACTATTATGTCAAGACGACCTACCTCTGCAACCGTTTCTCTCATCATTCTTCCTACGAGCCTACGTTATCTCGGACTACCTCGTGCTGGCCCCGTTGCATCGGGGGCAGATCTACACCTTCACAGAGGCGGGCGGTCTTCTGGACCTGTATCAAGATGCCTTCTCGTGGGCCGGGCTCTTTTCAATCGATCAGGTGAGCGACTCGCTACTGCGCTCGCATAATAGTAGTTGACATAACCTCATTGGGTTCAGCCTGAGATCATCGAGATGATGCTCACCGGTTTCGCAGCGCTGATCCAGTACATCGAAGATCGAAAGGTGCTGAAACGGGTGCTTTTGCGTGCGCCTGCGGTGTGGACGAATATCTGGCTACACAGAGATGAATTCGCTCTCTGGGTGTATGAGGATTCCGGCGACGTCAAAAAGGGAGCAAGAAGTCCTACCATCAATCTCATGATACAATATGAGAAACTATACGCATCAGAGTACGCCTGTCCTACGCTCTAGCGCGTCCTAATCTCCTGATGCCATATATCTTTCCCCTCTGTAGAGGAGTGAACCTTCTCTTCTCGACTCACGTCGCGCACCTCGCATTGTACATTCTCGCAACGTACAAAGGAGCTTTCGGGAAGTTGCAGGGATATCAAGAGCTCGTCGTCGTGACAGGAGCAACTATAGAAGACGATGGCCACGCCCATGCGGCCGAGACCGGCAGGCTCATTCGTGAAGCTGTCATCGAGACCGTCGGCCTTGACCCATTTGTCGCACGCCTGGGCGAGATCGTCCAAGAGGCGCACGAGACGCTCGACTGCCAACTCGTCGCTGGCGCTGTCTGCGTCGTGCGACTACTCTCCTATGCGCACTCTATCGACATCATGCCATATCTCGCTCGCCATCAAATCCTGCGCTCACTTATCACTACTGTGACGGATAGCAAGCTCATTATGCTTCCCGTCTTGAGCATACTTCCAACTCTATTCACACTTCTCGAGTACGTTGTCCGCCCACTGGAAGAACACGTAAGCTCATCCCACTATACAGGAAGATCATGAAGTACTGCTTCGACCGCAAGAACTTCGTCGTGCGCGGCGAAGATATGGTCGCTCTGGTCGCGACATACGCTGACATTAACATTGGCCGCAACCAAGATAGAGTGCGATCTGCCGAAGAAGCAGGTCAGCACCACTCGCATCTACTACTACGCTCGTTACACGCCCCTTCAAACGCTCATGCACGTGCAGAATTATGCGAAAGCCATATCACCGCTCGTCTAGAGGATTGCTACGCAACAGCTCGAGAGGTCAATGAAGGACAACGCGCGGCAGCATTCGCCAGGCCGTTCGTGCACGGTATGAAAGCCGGGGCTCGAATCCACTGGTATCCGACTCTTGCGCGCCTTCGCAAGGCCAAGCATCGTAATCCTGCCGACCGGGTCCACGTTCGGTCTCTCATTGAACTTTGGATGGGATTCGGCGCGATATTGGGACTCGATGCGGACCAGGAGCGGCGGCGGCATGAGGGAGAGGCGGCGCGCGCGGCTTGCTCGTGGCGCGACTGTTCGCGCCGCGATCAGCCTGGTGCAGGCAATGATGGGGCTAATTTGAAGAAATGTGCTGGTTGCGGAGAGAAGTATTGCAGCCGCGAGTGTCAGTTAAGGTATGATTCATGTGCTGAAATGGCTCGAACGGCTGCTGATGATGCTACAGTGACTGGAAAGAGGGGGGACACAAACAGCGCTGCAAGAGGCTGAAGAACTGATGTCACGATGTAATTATGTGACTTTGTATCTTGGGCCCCTCGAATGGAATAGGTTACTATTGGCATCGTCTCGCCGGCTCCACCTCTCTACGATCTGAACACGAACTTACCCGTGCCTGGGGCCAGACAGACTGGCTAGTCTCCACGCAGAACCTTAGTAACCTAAGACAGACTGGCACACTATCGATGTGGCCGTGAGGACACGCGTGGGATTCTAGCGGACATTGCCGAGTTCATCATGATGGCCATGATCATTCCTCCCGCGACCGTCGACGTGTCCGGGCGCTTCGGTATGTTGAACTCGACCACCAGCGTCGTCCACCATCTATGAGGGGATAACCGCTCATGGATAGTCAGATCTCTTCCCTCCTCATTAATCAAGCGAAGAGCAAGGAAGCGGGTGACAACATACTCCTACTGGTGCTCGATGATCGACTTGACGAGCCATGCGTCTATCACGAGAATGATTCTTCTTGGGAAGATCTTCCCCGGTTCTGCTCAAGACTTCTTCTAGGCCCGACATCGAAGTCAATGAATTGTCCAGCTGTTCCGAAGACTGCTGCAAGAGTTGGAAATGGAGGCCCAACTCCCTCGTTTCTTCGTACCTTCACCCGTACCTACTGATTAGCGGATGGAAGAGCTCATAGACACCCTTCGTGTACGTGTGCCAGAACCAGCTGACGGGAAACATGTGCTACCTGACATATTCTGCATTGTGTAGAAGTGCCACGGCAATGGACTAGGATCCTAATTCTGTAAAGAAGACCTTGCACTGCAGCGTTTGTGCTCACGGAATTCGCGTAGAACCACTGATAACATCGTCCCACGTGAGCAAACACCGCCTTACGGCGATGCAAGACAAACTCAACCTATATAACGTCTCTCTGCTTCAACTCCACCGCTATCACTGTCAGGCCCACTACACTTGCTTACACGACCACCACTATGGGCTCCCATATCTCTTCAATCAAACCCTCGCGCAACTATGAACGAATTGCACCCAGTAGCGAAGCTACTAGCAGTCCCATCTCTCGATTGCCCGACGATGTCTTGTACATGGTTTTCGAGTTCGCCGCGAAGACCGAACTCATCTACGACGTGCATGGTCACACGCTTGCAAGGCACAACCATATATACCCCAGCTACAACGCTTGTCTAGGATGGACGCGTCTCTCCGCCGTCTGCCGTCAATGGCGCGCTGTACTCCTTACCGTCGCCACAGCATGGGGCGACATCGCATTCTTTCTCCCTCCTGACATCGGCGCGTTAGCGCTCACACGCTCCGGTACAGCCTCTGTATACGTCGTTTTGCCCATGTGCAAGGACACCAGCTCTCCTTTGCTACGTAAGATCGCGCGGCGGAAGCGTTGGGGATTATCGCATACCCATCGCGAGCGGTTAGTCGGTTGGGCGGCTGTCCATGCGCTCAGGATAAACGGGATCATAGCCCGGGACTTGTCTGGGGCGGAGTACAAGTCTATCTTCCAAGCTGGCGTATTCAATACGTTGGGTTCGCTCGTCCTAGACGACGATTATCACGGTACCGATCGAGTCGCACCGACGGCAGAAGATCTGGGAAACCTGCATGTCACCGCACCACATGTGCGCCATGCTCGCCTGTCACCGACACTTCCTATAGCCTGTGGAAACGGACCCGGCTTGCGTCTGTCTCTTCCTGGCCTACAAAGCTTGTGCATCACCATTCCATACGAGCGCATGAAAGACGTCACCACTGTCATGCATGCGACGCAAATACAGTGGGTAGCACCGCTCATTCGCGGCGCGCAAAACTTGCGTTACTTGAAGATGGAGATATATAATGACACCGCGGCCGTTGACTGGTTCTCGATCTTCGGACCAGACCCCTTGTGTCTTGGGAAACTTGATTATCTGAAGCTGGGTGGCGGGTCGTTTGCGCGCATGGATGGGTTCCTCGATATGATGTCGAACGAAGTACCACCGAAAATATCATGCTTCCAAGTCTTAGTTCCCGCGCTATCTGATGATGATATACAGCCGTATCTGCACAATTACATCGATGCGGTACAGCGCTCGATGTGTAAACACTCCCTCGATTGCATCTACGTCACACCGACGACCTTCTGGCGAAACCCGTGCTACTCCATGAAGGCCCGCATGACCATTGTCGAGATCATCGTCTTTTCGGGCACAGTGTTAACTGAACCAGGCCGCAGTAGCGAGGATGTTCTGGACAAAATATACACGGCGGAGTGTAGAGTTGAACTGAAGATAAAGATTCTCTCCATGCCCTCATTAGACGGCGCCGAAGACCCACGGATCACGCTAAACAGGGCTCTCAGCCTATTTAATCCCATACTCGCTTCCGGTGGGATCCGGACTCTCGTTGTTGATCAATCGCCTAATAAACGATGGACCAAATGCGTGCGCCGGTTTATCCAAACTTCCCTCTCTAGCGTCAGTACACTGTACTGCCTGGATGCCGCAAGCCCACAGATACCAAAATCCTTCATTTGCACCAAGGCTCTTCGTCTGTCGTATAAAGAGAGCAGGCGCGTTGTACGTCGTCTTTCGTGCAGCATTCAACCTTTGTATGCTGACCACCTCGTTCAACAGCGTGTCCCGGCGGCCATCATGCCAAATCTGACGACCATCTATGTGTCAATGAACGTTTCACAGGTCAAAACGAACATGGATGTACTGCTTGGCGCAAGAGACGTCCGCACGTGGTGGAAGGAGATCCTTCGAGCTCTGACATCCCGCCACGAGGCTGGAATGCGCCCGCGCAAGCTACAGATCATCGGCGGGTGGGCGTCAGAGAAGCTGCGGAATCGAACGGCAAAGATGGACGCAAAGATGCTGGTGCAGGTCGCTGCACTCGTTGAAGAGGTCCACGACCAGCGTGCAGTATATTCGGCAGACTGAGTGTGACCGCTCGGGGACAGAATCCGCACATACATAGAGCTTAGTGAGCTTGACAGATGACACATGTCTTCGAATAATGTTCACAGTACGTGATGAGCCACGTTGTTTAGTAGCCCCTTTTTCCCTGTACGTGGATATACCAACTTTAGGCATGGCTGATGCAGTGCGGGGACTCACGCGCGCGCTCGAAACACCCGGGCCTTTTGGCACTCAAGGCATCGTTGCATAGATTGACGGTACGATAGCGCAGACTGCCAGTAGTGCCTCTCGATGTGGCAGGGATATGACGTTTGGCTCAATGACTGCAGTGGCGAGTGTCGACGAGCGCAGTCTTTCGTCAGTCGGCCCGAATGCCGATATTCCCACCGCAATAAACCATTTCCGAGGATGCTGCGCCGTCACGGTCGTCCTGCAGCCACCATCATCCTGCATCCGACAGCAGTTTGCGAACGATATCCTCCTGATCCTACTCTATGATATCTTGCTTGAGCGTGCTTTATCCATTGTCAGCGTCCACACGTCACCTCACCCAAGCCCGGCTTGTCGTGGCCAGATGTCGCATTGCCGAGTTCCCTACAATGTAGAGATGGAGCATAGTGAACACGCCCCACATATGTTCGTCGACTCTACCGCTACTGGCTGTACATCAGCGCGCACCACTCGTCATCAAGAGCGGTCTCAGGAAGCGATACCCTCCCTATCCCCTGCCAGATCATCACTGTGAAGCACGACAGAATCATCAATCCCAGTGAGAAGTCCGTCTAGGTGGTCAAGGGAATTCTAGCCGCGTCAACGCGGATCTAGCATATATAGGCAATGTCTACGTAACGCGACGGCACGCCGCGTATTGCTTCCAACCTCCATTGTCGCGACGCGGCAAACCACAATGCCATTTATTTCCCGCATATGCCTCGTCTCTTTTGTCGCGTGCCTTCGGGCGGGTAAGCATATGGATAGGATGGCGATGGGATGGTGTGGCTGCATGCCATTCGCCACTCTCATCTTGCCACCTCTTGAACCCGAGTGCAGTCTACCTTGTGTTCTCGTACCAGCCCGATATGTCCATGCCTCCTGTTGACGAGGATGGCAAGGTAATGTGTACCTGCCAACGCTATTGCAAAGGTGGAACTCGTATCCGACCTGCGACTTGGAACGAGCACGCCAAAGACTTCCCGCTCTCTTCCTTGAACGGGTTTCTTTCTGCTCTGCCCCCAGTCGATTATTATACTGTAATGCAATATGTAGCAGTACACTGAATGCGATGGCTGGATTTACTGTATCATTTGGAGGCAGGAAACCAGTCAAGTATGCAGCAATGTCGTTGGGAAGGAGCAAAACACGTCATCGCGATTTCCGCCGGGCGGAAACAACGCGCGCGCGTCCCAGCGCGTCTTGCTCGCTACCGTCACGTCCTCACACATCTTGCTCGCTAACCTCATGTCCTCTTTGTCTCTCGACTGTAGTATCTGGAGGCAAGAAAATGGCGGAGTGTGCGGCGACATCGTTGAGAAGGAGCAAACCGCGTCAACGCGATTTCCGCCGGGTGGAAACGACGCGCGCGCGTCCTCGCGCGTATTGCTCGCTACCATCATGTCCTCCTCGTCTCGGACGCACGCGGGCGGGCGGAAATCACACAAACTCATGCTTGATGCAACGACATTGTTGGGCGGCAGCACAACATATTGACGCGATTTCCGCCGGGTGGAAATACTGTACCAAATCGACCTTAAGTTCACCGTTCGGGAGCGTTACGCGTTACGCACCGGTAAGTTCAGTCGGATCGTGGTTCAGAACCACGCGTGAGGCGTTACTCTAGTTCAGGTTGGAAGAGCCTGTACGTACTATGAGTGAGATTGAGGGGGTCGTTAGTGCTCTCGCTTGCTCTGGGAGCTATCATGAGGCTTACTGGTGCGACTGATACCGTGCAGGGCCTTATCCAGGGCCTAGGAAAAAATTAAATATTTTTGCAATTTCTGACAATTTTTGGCCGTAACGCTCCGGCGGTTCGCGCACGCCCGTTACGCGTTACGGTAGTTCAGGTTCACCAACGCGCGTTACGCGTTATGAACCTAAGGTCGATTTGGTACAGTAATGTGCGCACATCCTCGCGCGTCTCGCCGCTACCGTCATGCTCTCCTCGTCGGGAGGAAGCCGAACGCGTCGATGCAATTTCCATTGGGCGGAAACAATACGCGCGCATCCTCGCGCTTGCTCCTCGCTACCATCATGCCCTCCTCGTCGGGAGGAAGCAAGATGTGTCGGCGCGATTTCTGCCGGGCGGAAACGACACGCGCGCGTCCTCGCGCGTCTTGCTCGCTACCGCCATGTCCTCCGCGTCTCTCGTACACACACACTTCCGCCCAAGTTGTATAGTACACATGTATGCATGACTGATATATCCACATATTGTTACTGTGGGAATATTCAGCAGAATCGTGTGTTGTGCGAACATGTGGTGATGTGCGGCTTCGAAGTGGTGTATGCCGTGACCAACTACAATTTCCTGGAGCTATTCTTCATAGGGGATGCAAGCAGCCTTGCGAGGACGATATAGTATGCTATTCACACGAAGGCGAAGACTGTAAGGCATGTTGTGTGGTTGGGACGAACAATAGTGCCAGGGTGGTTTGCCCCGCGTGCATCGTCTCTTTAGCCACACTGTAGAGTGGCCTGTCCCCCCATTTTCGTCTCTCTCTCTCTCTTCCACCACCACGCCCACTACTGTCTCGCCCAGTGCCCTCTCCCCAATCTGCTCTACATTGTATCGAATGTACTCGCAGACACCCCAGCGAGGCTATCCCCCTCGTTCATATTCTCGCAACACAGCTCACAGTAGCCAGTTTAATGCTTCTGGACCCCCTTCCCTGGGGCACTTTGGTGTACGTTTATATCTATTCAACCTAGGTATAAGATCATTAACAGATGTTACACTAGACACCGAGTTATACCTTGAACAATGCTCACACGACCTCGTACTCGGACTCGTTTTTTGATTCTGCGGGTGGCGGTGGTGCAGATAACAACGCGATCAGCTCTCTGACTATCGCGGAACTCGTTGAGGCCGAGAATCCTGCCGTTCTCGCGCTCGTGGAGAGATGTCAGAGACTCGAAGAGGAGAAGTTAGCTGCCGAGAGAGAAGTGATCCGTGCCGAGGGCCGCATCGAGGAACTACAGTAAGCGGAGCTCTCATCTCATCGCATCACAACAGTATGACTGACATCTTTTATAGTAGGTTACTTGATCAGCCACAGCATCATCACATCACCGCCAGCAGCTCATCGAGGTTCACTGCGCCTCAGACTGACCCGCTTCCGGCTGTTCCCAAGCTCGATGAGCTCATCGAAACGGATTATCCTGCAGTTCTGAACTGGCACGGCATCACGAAGGACGAGAATGCCGCCGAACTCGCAGGTACTTCGACCGGGACCGAGATGCCCGTTGTGTCCGAAGACGGGCCTGCAACTGCCAAGCTTCCGCGGGGTGTACACAAGTTCAAACGCACGGCCCCCGACGGTACGAAGAACATCGGCATGAAGTGGCTTGTCAAGGGCGATGGGAACAACCAGCCGCAAAGGTCGACCCATTTCAAACAGCTCAGCCTGAGTGCGTATACGGTATAAAAACCCATGTATTAGAAAACCAGTTTGAGCAGAAAAGCCCAAAAGATACAGTACTGTACACGCGAATCCGGGGTTAAAAAACAATGTCCACTACTGTTAAAAAACAAGCGAGCACGGAAACGAAGCAATCGGGGCAAGTCGAATCGAGTTAGAAAACAGCACGTCGTAAGAAGAGTGTCAGATTAAGAAACAAGTCCGAAGAGAAGACAGTGCCGGAACTCCGATTAGAAAACAAGGTGTGTTTAAAAACAAGGCGAGTTAGAAAACAAGGCGAGTTAGAAAACAGTGCCGAAACGCCGATTAGAAAACAAGGCGTGTTAAAAAACAAGGCAAACAAGGCGAGTTAGAAAACAGTGCCGAAGCGCTGATTAGAAAACAAGGCGTGTAAAAAACAAAGCGAAAAAGCGAGTTAGAAAACAAGGCCCGTTAACCCCGAACAAAGGACGGTTCGGCCAGCAAGTAGACGGCCGACTGTCAGGTACCCATCCGGAGCGCCGCAGGGAAGCCGCAGAGCATGCACCTCAAACACGGGTAGGGTCAGATGCTGTAAGGGTATGCCAGCCCTGCCTCGTCTTTCTCTTCTGCTTCTTCAGCTTCGCCCGCTCCTCGTCGCCCGGGACCGCCACCAACTCCGCAGTGCATATGCCATCCAGCCGATGGTCTTTCATGAACGCGTGACCCTCCTCCCTTGCTTTCCCGAACTGCTCTTCCCATAGCGCCGCTTGTCGACGCCGAACCCAAGCTTGTTGGAGCGCGTACGCGCGCACACCGTTAGCCCAAGCGGCGTCGGCGTCCCAGGACTCCTCTGCGTCACAAGCGATCGTCGCCCGTAGCCTGGCTGCCCATTGTGCGAAGCGCTGAGCGTCGCTCGATGGCAATGCAGCTGTTCCGTCGGCGCCGGCTGTGTCGCTTGCTGAAGCGGAGTCGGGCGCATTGAGGATAGTGGCGGAGTCGGGCGCGTCGAGGATAGCGGCGGAGTCGGGCGCGTCGAGGATAGCGGCGTGACATCGCGCCTCCCAGATATCAGCCATCGACATGTTGAATCGCACTACTCTGCCCATCTCCTCGTCCACCAGCCAAACTTCCTCCACCCAGTTGCGCGCGCGGGCCCGGTTCTTCAGCCACTCCAGCATGAGCTCTGCAAGACAGCGTATATGTCAGCAGCTATTCCGTCGTGACGTTGGGCATGGCTTACCATCCGTTATCTTCAGCCCATCGCCCTCCTCCGGGTTGCCCCTCCGGTACCAGATCCAAGACATCTTGTACTTGGTCTCACCCGACGAAGCGGCCCCCTTCTTCCTCTTGGCGACATAATCCCGTGCCTGCTTTACCGACATCTTCTCGATTTGCTCGATGAGTCGGTCGCCCAACCCTCGGCAGTCGCTGTCCTCCAGCTTCCTCATCGTCTTCTGCCAATCGCCCGGCCCGACGAGGTTGAAGTAGCGATCACGGCAGCGCCTGTACATTGTTACGGACTAGCCCCTTTCACACGCTCTACTGGCTACATACATGACTGTGACTGATGCACTATACTCCTTTTACCTTTAGACACGCCTTACATATTTTTCCCTGCTTTTATCCGACGTATTTAGCTCTCGTTTTA